CAGTTTAAATCTTTCCCTAAAATCTTTTGTGCCCGTGGAACTTCTTTGGCAACGCCGCAATGCAGGGGAGAAAGCAACGCACAAGACGACAACTTATTAGCTAGGTAGGCACGGGCAAACCGCAGAAACGAAACAAAACGTGCGGCACAAAGATGCCGAACTTGGGTGCGCGTTGTACAAGTTAATACATTTATAACATTTCTCTGCGCGTCGATTTTATCGCACATGTTTCGCGCAGAGACCCGAAAATAAGCAAACAAACGCAATGATATCAGGTGAAATTCATAATTAACTTAACTTAGTTTAATGTTCAATGTTTAAGTCTCTACCAAAACATTGTTATCAAAATCATGATGATTTATTATTTATTTTCGCTTGATGTTTAAATATTTTAACGTTGTTTAATGAGAAATTGAAGTGTATATTATTTGACTGAATAACTCTTCAAAATACTTGATCATACTCGACAAGCCGCTCGAAAATCCTCCAAACGTCATTGGGAAAACCATTAGAAAAACCATCGGGCGGACCTCATAAAAAGCACTCCTCGCTCGCCGCTGCCGCCGAGCTTTATTCTTACTGCGTAGAGTCCTTGCCGCTTTCTCGGCGTGTTCATGTAACATAACAACGAAAGCATCCGTCGGACGTTAAGTGACACGAGAAAATCGAATGAAGAGATTTCACTCGTTTTTTTCTTCTCTCTCCCGTTTTAGCGCCCGGCCGGCACCCAGTTTCCTCTTGCGTTGTCCGCATTGTTACTTCCCTTTCACGCCTGACCCCGGGTTGATTTTGCTGTGCTCTCGTCGGCGATTTTATCGTTTGGCGTTTTCATCGGTTGACCGTTGGGCCGATTCCGCGCCTGCCGCCGCCGCCGCCTTTTATTCTCGGGGCGTCGTTCATTGAGCGTTAGTGACTGGTGACGTTGACCGGTCGCAGCATCGCTCGCGTTTAGCGCTTTCTAAGTGTATTTCATCGTAAACGGCCGAAGCCGCCGTCCAATACATGCACGAATTGACACTAACTCTGTGAAGCGCAGAGGCGAAGAGGAAAACGATGTGCACCGGGAGTTGGGAGAGCGGTAAGTGCGTTGTTTCTGGACCCCAGAAAGAGAGAAAGCGACGAGTTGATTGCGAATCGCTATCCGTAAATGGACTGTTTTCCGGTAAAGCGTAATACCAAACGAACCTCGCTGCCGCCGCCTTCGTCCACCGCTCGATGAAGGCGCGTTGGGTCCGAGGCGTTTCTATCTAAACAAATTTGACTCAAAGTTTCATCCGATTTAAGTTGCAGTAAGCGAAGAAGAAAATTCCAACTTGTAGAAATCTAAAAGTAGAGGGTTAAATCTTCTTTATTTTACATTTAGTAAACTTTAGTTTATTCCATTTTATAAATAACTTAATTCTATATTGAATCATTATATCTTTGGAATAACCTTTTGATTAAATGATTCACCACTGACTTAGACAGAATGCCACTTCAAATATAAATCACCCTGATAACAATTCTATTACGGAGCCAGAATTCCGTACCCACTGGTCTAATGTCTTACTTCAAATCGTAGCTATCCAGTTCAAGTAAGCATCCTTCACTAACCAAATCTCGGAATTGAAAACAAATATGTGGAGTATTGTTGATATTGGTAGAATAAGATGGTATATCTACCTACTACTAATGATCAAATAAATATATTCATATTACAGTAACAAACTCACATTATTTCCACATCGAGTTGAAAGAACCAGCCACGCGCCTCAAGAAAATTGCATGTTGATGCGTTAATCTTCCGGATTTCCTATTTCGGTGGCGTCGCGACGTCGTTTAGGCACAACGCCGCCTCACTTAAACGGGAAGTTGACGCGACGCCGCCGCACTGTTGCCGAGAATTTCTAAAATCTTAATCTTTGGAAGGCGCGCACTCTGTTTGCTTTCACGTTAAAATTTTCCACGGTTTACCTGTGGCTGTTGACATTTTCTTAACGTCTCGAGATTATTCGCGCGCTAAATGCAACTCACAGAACGAACACAAATCGCTTTATCAACTCGTCCGTCTTAGAAAATTCGAAATATAAGAGATAATTTCCAATCATCGTGTTACGAATACGCCTACGCATGCTACGAAGATTGGAAATCTCAAAAAAGCAGAACAGGTCGAAAATCAAAAGTAGAATTATATGAGTGTGGGTTCATTCGTGCAGTAGGGTGGCAATGTTGCAAAGGAAGAGGAAGTTGTGAACTGGATAGAAAAGCCGAGACGGACGAAATCCACGTACTGCGAGGAGACACATTTCTTATGATCTCGTTTATTGGATATACACTTGGCGTAATTCGTTTTCGGATCTTTTCAGATTGTGCTCATTTCTATTCGATAGCAGTACGGTTACCTAATAACCGTCGGTTATATAAAGAAAAGTAAGATTATTATTGATACATATTTGAAATTGTATCCAAAAATAATACTACTTATATGTAATGTAACATAACCTTAAACTGTTTCGATATTAACCTCAAAAATGAAATTTTGACGCTTCCATCATTCACTTTTTGCACATCCATCAAGTCATCTGTCGATTAATCATATATTTTTTAACAATATGATAACAAATCGCTTGAATTTTGATTAAACTGCAATCAATACACTGTTTAAACGTGGTTTTTGCTTTAAAATTTCTTGAAACTATGATAAAAATGCAAAGTATGACTGTGCAATTAGTGTTTGTAATATAATACATACAAAATAGTTAAAAATTAGATGTTGCTCATATTGCAACACAAGATATAAATAAATATCGAAGGAAACTTGATTTTCAATGTTTCTACAATTTTTACTACCGCTCCTTTCCCTGTAATATCCGAAGCCGCTCACATGCAGTCACCATCATAAATGCGCATAATACGGCGTCCGATGTCTTCGCGCCGCTACTCGAATAGGCTTTCTACTGATTTATCATGACATATCGAATGGCAAATGCAATTTTACTTTTATATTTCGACGCGCGTGCATCGGCACATACATACGCACGCGTACGCGCTCGATTCCCTCGGATCTCTCGGCGGTGGCGGCGCGATTTTACCGTTTTGCGCGATTTTCATGCATCTATATGCTGTCGGGCGCGATTTCGCATAGCGTCTCTTTCGACTGAACGTAGGTAGGTGGCCATTACGGTGGAGACAGGGCGGGCGCGTTCGTGTGCGACGTCGACAAGCGAATTACGCACGTATACAGACAGCGGCGGTAGCGTTGGATTGAGTGCAATAAAGGCATGTAAAAGGTAGATGATATGATTTAATATTTTCGACGACTCGGCGGCATCACGGATGTCTTTTCGTACATGAAAAGCTTCCGATGTGAACGATTGATGATACTACACGTAAGCACACGGGCATGGCCTTCGCACGCACAAATTTGATATAAAAGTAGGTGCATTTGATTTCATGATCAAGTTGAAAGGTAAGAACAAAGGGAAAAGTGAGTATATGTCAAAGTTTTAGTTCAGAGCGAAGAGTATTTTTTAAAACAATAAAAATAAGATGTTTTTTTGAGTTGAATAAAACAACTCAATTTATATACAACAAAAATGCATTTTTGTGTAATTTTTATCAATAAAAGAGGTAATAATATGCATTTTTTGGCATATTTATAAAAATTGTACCTCTCATAACGTGGTCGCGGTTGCTGCTTACGGTTTACACACCTAATACGATGAGATGACTGCGACATTTGTTGGAAGTCCCAGGTGATGAGCGGAAGCGTAACGCGGATTTATGAGTTGGTATGTTTGTATTTGGAGCCGTCATCACCACCGAATGCGATCCGAAACGTAGTTGTTGTCGGCTGGGAAAAAGAGGAAACTCGCGGAAATAAGAAAACCCGGTGGCAAACGAACGCACAAGGAAACGGCGGTAATGTCCTCGACGCGTTTTCGGCTTCCACCAATAGGTAAACATCCGCTAGCCAATGTAGCCAACAACCGGAAGAATACAAATACTTGTGATGGTGTGACCGAGCTACAAGCACGGCAAGCTGGCAAACGTTGCCATACTTTTCTGATAGTAATTCAGACACATAACGGTAAAAGCACACATCTTCCCCATCCAATGACGAAACTTTCTGATTTATCGCCGACCGAAATTTATGCGCTCGCTTCGAAAGTATTGCTACCGTAAGCCTACCTGCCTAAACCACAAAGACCTGGAAGCTTGCAAAAATATCTATAGAAATATTTATTTGACTCTGTTGTGTAATTCTAACTCAAGGTGATTCATTAAAAAAATAATATGATTACTGTTAAAGGAAAATGTTAAAGTATAGTAGATATCTCAACTTATTGCCTGGAATATTGGAACTTTTAACTGTTCAAAAACTTGATTATTTTCCAGAAACTGAATTGGTGCAACATCTATCGGTGATATTTAAAACGTTTTCAACTCTAAATCAATGAGCAGACTCTAAATTGTAACGTATAACATGTTCTGAAATTTTAAAATTATTATAAGCATAGGTTTTAAATATTTTTGTATTTCACAGATAGAATTATCACCATAAGTATGCTTTTTTGTACATTCATTTTGATACCTTAACAGAAAACTGCATTACCGACGCAGCAAACTACAACCTTTGAACGAAAAACTCTGGCGCATCGAGCTATAACAGTTTTTAAGAGCATTTCTTTAATTAATTGACTGCTGATCAACTTTACGTGAGTTATTCATAAATCTTATTATTTACAACTTTTGTGTAAGTGTTGGTAGATAACCTCTCAAGGTCTTATACTTCTTAGCCATTTTAAATACTGAATCATCTACGCAAGCTAATAATTTTTAAACGAGAAATATGTTTCCGGATTTAATAAAATACGTTTTAAAATAAATATTTATCCCTGGTCTAAATGTAGGAATTTTATTTAATTCCATTAAATTCAACGTTAGAAGAATAACCGGTAGAATTCAAATGAGCATTTTGCTTGTTTGACAGCTGGCGGGAAAAAGCAGTCAACGACGCCACAGCCGCCGTAACTACGCCAATCGCAGCTACGGTGAATGCGCATCAGTTTGCGGTAGGCTCGGTTCTTTAAAAGCGTCGTGCTTTTATTCACAAACCTTTTTATCTTTTCTTATTAAATGTAAATCGTAAGTTACGCGAAGATAAATGTTTGTATATGCCAGAACTTTACAGTGCGCGTTTAAAGTTACTCAATATCACAACACTTTTGTGTTACATTAGAATATTCATTTATAACAATGGCACGGGGACGCGGAAGATACAGGGTAAGCATTGAAAACCTATTATTCTCGTTAAGCCTAATTAATTGTAATTTAGGGACTAAACAAAAAGGAATCGACTACATCACACAATAACCAGCAACCCAAGTTTCCATCAAATATGGAAACTACAGCATCTATTTTGAGGAGGGAAAATTTGAGTTTTAACCTCTTGAATTCTTATGTATATGTTGATTTAAGTGATGTTACCATAAATCCATATGATTATTTGAGAACGGCATCATCTCCATCAGTTACAGAAAGCAGAAAGAACCTAAAACCTGCTAAGAATACACTTCTAAATGATTCCAACATTAGTTTAGATAAGAAAGTTTTGCGAAAAAGGTTAGATCTTGTACCTAAACAAATTGGCAGAAGGCAAATGAGAAATAATAAAATTGAGACAGTTGATCTGGTTAGTGATAATGATGATGATGATGATGATGATGGAGATATTCAACAGCCATCTACTTCAAAAACACCGCCTAGAGCAAGTAAACTAAACAAATCAAACATTCAAAAAAGTTCAGAAAAAAGACCAACCAGATCCAGATCAATATCTGCAAGTCAAATAAAAAATATTGAGTCCAGCTTAGCTCCAAGGAAATCTCTACCTAGCACATCACATGCTGAAAATTTACCTAAGAGATCACCTAGAAGACGCCGACAAGAATCGGAGAATGAAAATGATCTTGATAAACCAGATAATATAATTGAAAGTAAAATCCTGGGGAGAGGACGGAAATCAAAGAGAAAGAATTCTGAGGTAAATAACTCTGAAAAAAGACGTACTTCCACCACCAATAATTCCAAACCAAATAAGAAGACTCCAAAAGAAAGAAGTGTTGATGCCTCTGACAAGGTAGCACACCAGAAAACACAAAAAGGAAGGAAACTTTCATATTCAGAGTCATCCAGTGAAAATGATGCAAATGATGAAGAAATAAATAAGAACCGGAAAAACGTTTCTGAATCACCTGAAGTTATGGTAGTTAGTGATAGTGAAGAGACAGAAGAAAACGTGACAAAACAAACTACAGTAGAACAAAATATTGTTGAGATATCAGATATTGAAAATATCATTGGAAAACCTGAAACTTTGGAGGTGCCAGAACATGTTGATGAAATGAATATCGGCGATGAGAGTACGAAAGGAGCTATGATTCAATCTAATGGTTTTGCTACAACTCAAGACTTAATTGAGGTTTTGGCGGGAAGTGATGAACCGGAAGTAAGTGACGATGCTGCGATGGATGAATCTTTAAACAGTGAAAAATTAGAGGCATCAAAAAAAGTAGCAGCCGAATCAACTGAGTTAGTGCGAAATATTGTAGACGATGTTACTGATGGAGAATCTCATAGTCCTGCAAAACCAGACTCTGGTAATGAAACCGAAAATGCGGTGGAGATTGAAACATTAGAACAGAGTATCAACGATAGTTTGAATGTTTCAGTTAATAAGTCCGCAACTAAGAAGCGTGCTCCATTTAAGATTCGTTTCTCAAAGGGTTTTGAATATTCAAAATTTACCTGCGACACTTGCCAGAAGATGTTTAAGAAGAGTGCTGATTTGTCGTTGCATCTTTTGCAGCATCTTGACAATAGGGACTTGTCTGTCCGAGTATTCCGTGCTATATTGCCGAAGAAATTTGATACCAGTTGTCATGATATGGATAAGTATTTGAAGCCGAAAAAGAAGAGACCCATAACCCCGTTCGACGTCGACGAGGCGAAGAGTTTGATGAGCAAATATTGCAGGGATGATAGTTTTTTGGAACCTTTTGAGGATACAATTGACGGAGATATTAGTATGAATCAAACAAATGGTGATGCAGTACCGAATGTTGTAGTTCTTAGCGATATCACATTGGTGAGCCCCGATAAACCTGAGCACAGTGTTGAGATCGACGTGGATCAATTGCAAGAAGTAACTTCGGACAAATCAACATCACCCATTCAAGAATTGTCAGAGAACGATGAGGAGCCGATTAATGTTGATTCTCAAACCGAGGACATTGACCAAGATACGGAAATCATTGAATTCAAACACAGAACGACTGCTTCTGATGCAGACATTGATGTTAAAACAACTACAATTTGTGAAGTTGTTGAGTTAAAGGGAGAGAATCAAGTAGAAGAGTGTATAATGTCTACAGATGAAGTAGAAGATGTTGTTCCCGAGGCCCAAGAAGAGGTGTGCGTAATTACTGACGAGAAAGAAAACGAAGAAGTAACTCCAAAAGACCTTGAAATAAATACGGAAAATGAAGTTGTCCCCGATTCCCAAGAATACGTGTGTGTAGAAAAGTCCGAAGAAGTAATTCAAGACAACCCAGAAATGTTTGATAAAAGTACAGATAATGAAGAAGTTATTCCTGATTCTCAAGAGGAGGTATACGTACTCACCGAAGAAATAATTTCAGACGATCAAGATATTTTTGATAGAAATACAGATGCTGAAGAAATTATTCCAGAAACACAAGAAGAATGTGTGATTTCTGAGAAAGAAGTTGAAATTGGTTTTACTGATACAGAAGATCAGATTGATTTTAAGGGCCAAGTTGAACAAGTTCCCAGTGTTGTCGCGGAGGACGAAAATGACGTCGCAGTTCTGCAACTTCATGACGAAGAACACAGTGTTCAAGAAGTTACTAATGAATCGCTCAATTCGGATGATTTATTGAAAGATAAATCGGATTCCGAAGATGCGAAGAAACGAAAACGTGATGATGTTGAAGAGGAAGATACAGAGGATTCGAACAAAAAATTGAAGCTAGTAGATGATAGTGATGCAGTGGAGAAAGATTTAAGTATATCACTGCATTCAGATGACTATGTGTCATGCGTTGACGAGACATCGCCAAGCCATAGCCCTAGCAAACGCTCAGACACATCCGAAAGCGATAATGTGGATCTAATGAAGTTTGCATCATTAGATAATCAAATGAAGTCTCTTATTGATAAACATAAGGAAACTCTTAAGGTGTCTGAAGATTTGGACAGTACCATGACAGAGAGTGAAGTTCGAGAAGGTACTGATGATTTCATCGGTGACATAAATTGTAAGCCAGCAAATGATGAGAATGTTGTTTCTTCTCAATGTAGCATAGCACTTTAGAAGGTGTGTTTATGTGCATAATGTTTTAATATCTTCGAACTATATAGACATTAATGTTAATAATCCGATTACTTTTTTTGATTATACTTTAGAACGTTATATAAATGATATAGCTTGTCGTATTAAATATTCACAAGACAGAAATTTAAGAATTGATTATTCAGCATAATTTACTTATTATAAAAAACTATTTTAATAAATACCTTATGTATCCCTTAATTTATGTTTGTGGATGTTTTGAACGTACACCATTACAATTGAATAGGAATATTTTAATACCTAAAATTCAAATTGTAACTAATATGTTATTTTGAAATGAAAAGAAATCTAGTTGCCTGAAATACAACTGCATTCGAAAATGCTCCGAAGTGACCAAGCAATAGCTTAAAACCAGAGTTTGAATTTAAATTCATGAGCATTAGATATTTTGTATTCTGTAAATCACCATCCCAGGGGCATGCGTAGAAGAAGTCGTGCCGGTATTGTTCATTCTGTAAACATTCAAATTGATTCGTGACTTAAGTAAGTGTTTTGTGTAAGCTGTTGTGTTCAACTGAAAGCGTGACCAGGAGGCTCGGGTAAGCGTACATTACTTTTCATTTACTTTGTTTTAATATGTTTTCTTTGTAATTGTTATGCATGTGTGGTAATGATTATTTTTAACCTGTTTTCTCTGAGAATGTTTGTTAACAATAGAAATCACCTGAATGAAGGTTATTTATTACTTACTACGCGGTTCATTTTCTCTGCAAGGAAGCCACAGGCACAAATACCTCCAATATAAATACTCAAATGGGCAAGTGATAGTAAATTAAACTCCTACAAAATAGTTCACTTCAGAATAGAGTTTTTCGTTTGTTTTAAGTAATTGTATACAATTAGTTCCGATATGACGATCAAAGGAACATTAACAAAAGCAACACACAACAGCACTAGTAATGGAAATTTATATAATCCCATTAAAATGTTCCAAATTCTACAAAAAATACAAATTATCACGACCAATACAACTTAAGAGCAACTTATTGTTACATACTCGACAGAAATCATTTGTTGCTGATGAATTTCTTTAATTTTCTGTAATCGCATTGCTCTTAGCTGAATCAACTTAGACATTTTTAATGATTTTCGGACATCTTTGGATAGTAACTCCAGATACATGATGGCAAAGAACAAATTTAAGAACGCCAGCAATAATGTAACGAAAGCATATGCCAAAATAAATAGTATGACCAAATTGTAGAGGTCACGATATGGTCGATGGTTCATATTTATAAACAGGTACTGTAAAAAGAAAATAGCACTGCATATATTAAAAAGAGTCGATTGAATATAAAAGAGCCAATCTTTTATGCAGTGGAATAAGTAGCCACCTTCTTGGTTACACCCAAAGACTCGTTTATATTGAACATGACTTCATTATGTTTTCTACGTACGTTTGGAAATATAAATCCACAAGCATAGTCGTTTGAAGTATCCTCACACTTCTCAAATTCAACCACAAGATAGCCCGTTGCAAGAAAAATGCAAATATAACATATCGCGTCATTTTGAAGGTAATTGGTTAATTTTACAATTTTCTGCACGTTACAATAGTTTCTTCTGTAATGAGTATTCTCATCGTATAAATCCATTAAATACCTTCCTATTTTAAACGAGTGGATCATTTTATATATTGCAAAAGACGAGAAAAACAAACTTATTAACCATGTTACACTATGGGCCATTTGCCCACAGGAGACACCATTTTCTGAAGCAGAGACTTTAAATATTTTTTTATCTTGCAAGAATTAAATAGAAGCACATACGATACAGCATTGATATATAATTAACACTCCCAAAGATAACTACTACTGCACAATTAATATAGAAATAATTTATAAGTTTGTGTTTGATAGAAGTGGCACTGTACCAATACAACCCATCAACATAATAAAATGTGTTAAGTAATTTACGTAAACAAAAATTTTTACGCATGTCAGCAGGTTGGTTCTTGCCGGTTATCAAAATCATTGTTAGGCGAAGGGTAAATTAGAAAATCAAGTTGATCCAATAATTTTGGGATGACCTTGGAGTTTGGCGATTAGTTTTATCATTATCATTAGGTACAATAACACTCATAGTATAAAATTAATTATTTAATATGCTCATCAGGTAAATAATAATCACATTTCCTATAACTTGATTTGAAATGTCGTAGTGTCGCACTGTGCGACGCCTTCTTATATCTTCGAGTGACCCGCAAAAAGTGGTGGGGAGAGCGGGAAGTTGTATTCATTTGGGGAATGAACCTTTTGTTCAGATACTTATATTCGTGCAAATAAAATTTCATTAAAAACCGTAGCAATATTTTACACAGAACAAATACAAACTATTTAATATAATTATTTAACCCTTTATGCTCAATTGCTCATACTGAACATACACCATCAAAATTGAATATGACCATTTGAATATCTAAAATTATCGCATACTTGTAATTTATTTTCGAATATTATACACCTACCTTTAAAACGACTTCGTTTGAATATTCTCCGAAGTGTCCAAGCATAATTTTGAAACCATGATTTGAATTTAAATTCATTAATATCAGATATTTGGTATTTTGCAAATCTCCGTCCCAGGGACAAGCATAGAAAAACTTGTGCCGAGAATGTTCAGTCTATAAAAATTACTCAATAGTTTGCTAGATTTGCAATTAATTAGATAAACTTACAATACTGTACATTTTCTCAGCGAAGAAACCACAAGCAAACGTCCCTGCAATATAAATGCTAACATGTGCAAGTGACAGCAATTTAAATTCCTGAAAATTGTTTGATTACGAATCGCAATTTTTTTATAATGTATTCCCGTACATTTAACGAAGATATAAGTATTAGGGGTATATTAACGACTGATGTTACATATTGAAGTAATAAGGGCCACCTATATATTTCCATTAAAATCTTCCATAATCTAGAATTAAAAAAAATGAATATATTGCCCACAATTTTATATTTATAGTATTAATACTTATTGGAAACTATTTGTTGTTGATGTATTTCCTTAAGCTTTTGCAATCTCAATGCTCTAAGCTGAATAAACGTGGATATTTTTAACGATTGCTGTACGTCTTTGTTGAGCAGCTCAAGATACAATATGGCAAAATACAATATTTGAAGGCTTAGGACAATTGTTACAAACACATAAGCTAATAAGAACACGGAAGCTAAATTATATAAGTCACGATATGGCCGATTGTGTATGTTTATATAAAGATACTGCAAATGCAAATTGAATTAGTTATTAAAAATTACTTAATATTTGAACGTACGGTTGGAAATATAAACCCACACGCATGTCGTTTTGAATGATCATCGCACTTTTCAAATTCGACTAATAAATATCCCGTTGCAAGAAATACACACAGATAAACCATCACATTATTATGTATAAGATTTGTGAATTCGACAACATGTTGAACATTCTTGTAGTTTTTTCTAAGATCAGTATTTTTTTCACATGCGTCAATGAGGTAATGACCGATTTTAGAAACCCGTTTTATTTTATGAATAGCAAATAAAGCATATAAAATGCTAATTAGCCAGGACATATTGTATGCCACTTCTTTAAATGTTGTACCATTTTCTATAACAACATCTTATTTGTGTCTTTTAGTTATTTGCAAATACACTAAACTTACGATACAACAAGTAAAGATAATTTACATTTCCAAAAATTATAACTCCTATGAAGTAAATATAAAGTAGTTCCAGTAATTTATTTCTTAATGTTGATACTTTGTACCAATAGAGAGTATCAATGTAATAAAAAGCTTTCAAATACTGTTTTATAGAAACTTTTTTGGACATTTTGAGTACTTGCTTCTTCAGTGATTCGGATCATTTTATTTTGAATATTATGTAAAAGTATACAAACATTAATTTAATCTCCCGGGCCACTGATTACTCTCATGTTTAATATGTACATTTCAATAAAGATGTAATAGTCTATCCAGTGCTTTCCAACTGATAGTGCTCATTATACAGCCACATTCTTTCTTCTATTGATGACTATATGTTTATTGCTGCTTGATATAATCATAATTACATTTTATATATAGTTTTTTATTTTACAAATACGTGTAAACTAAAGTCAGATAAGTAATTTTTAATTCAATGAATAAACATACTCTTAGTTCACTGATAAACTAAGGCAGACGAGGTCAGCGTTTGCTTGGGATCGTTTCTTGTTTTTCATGATGCTCATTTATTTCCGATTATGAGCGGAATTAAACAAAGCTCGGTTTTGAACGTTTATAATATATACACTTTCATAAGTTTTCATTATTATGGGACTTGTAGTAATGGTATGAATAAAATAAGCTTATTTTGAGACAATTTGCATCTGTGAGAATAAATCAGAATACGCTCACAGGAATTTCTGTTGTCGTTAAAAAGTGCTTCCTTGTGACAACTTTCAAATAACAACACTTAATCAATTTTAAAATATTTACTCTGCATGAAAATGTTCTGTTACGTACAAATTACACATAAGCAAAATTAGAGGAGCTTAAAAATTAATAGTTATATAATACAAAAATATTGCAATACATATAAAGCAAATAAAAATCACTCTGAATGTTGATGTTCAAAGCATTAATGTTTATATAGAGATGAATGTAGTATGGAACCATATTGTATATGTACTTGAAGCAGAAGAATATTTGTTTTTATTGAGCATATTAAGTGTTGAAACTCGTCAAGCGTTTCATCAACAAGGCATTTGCTTGCAATTATTATGCAATGGGCTGGCTCACAAGCTGTGAAAAATAATCGGAATACTAAAAATTTCATCATTAGTCAAATATTAATTAAATCCAAATTATAATGATAGTTTCTACCTCATCTAATTTCAACAATCAGTTATGTGGTAACTAGGCGTGGATTCATGACATATTGGGCATGCAGAAAAGTGCTGGTCGTCTTGGTCACCAACCAGGCACATAGTGTGGAAAGAATGTCGACAGTTAAACACGTAAATGCCTTGCGGGCCCCGTTCAGATAGCGTAGAACGATGGCAGGCGGCGCAAACCATCGACTGTCCAACATTCACACCTTTCTGCTGTAAGCGCACCAATTTTTGATGCAGATTAAAGTAATCAGATACTAGAATTTTCTTGCATCCCTCCTGAACGGATACTTGTAGGTTGTAAGTGCAGAGCATTTTTACTAACGACGTTTTCAACCCGGGTATTTCCATGTCCCCGCGGATTTTTTCCACCAGTATCGTGGGATCCATATATGTACCGAGACTTTGTAAGAGAAACGTGATAAACTCTGGTTTATCAATTGAATGGTTTATGAGGTCATTCCAAAGATCCGGGTCCTTTTGCTCTTGGCAAAACATTATAGCGTATTGGATATCTTTCAACTGCTGCATTATTAATTGTAAGGCTTCTTTGGTATCACCAATGCGAGCTGTATGAAAACAAAATAAATAATAGAAAGTTTTTTTCTCGTTAACAGATTAAGTTGTGGAAATTACCTAGTAAAAACACCATCTCCGGATAATACTTGTTTTTCTCGCAAATATCCAACGCTTCTTGAATTGGATAATTCTCGCTGCGCTTAAGCAACGGCAACAATTTATTGCGATCAAAAATGGCGTATAGTTTTACCAACATGCCATGGTACTGTTTCTTTGAGTCGGTTTTATCATACGCATCAAGATATTTATATAGAAGTGCCTCGTGGTTTACGAGTTTCTTTACTACATCCTCTGAAGATATGCGATTCTTTTCCAGAAATAGATTGATTGCTTTCTCGTGATCCAGATTCATCAGCTCTACGATCATATCCTTGATGACGCTGTATAACTTGTGCGTTCGAATGAGATCGAATACATCCTTATTCTTCAGCGTGAGATACATAGAGAGACTCTTATCGTATTGCTTTTCGTAGCTATATAGCAGCGCCAGCGCTTCGAGCAATAATTCTTTATCTTTCTTTGACAACAATAGTTGTTCCAGAATTGCGTTAATCACAACGCTGGGATTGTACAACTCGTGCGGCCAATCCTTCACCAGTGTGAGGAACCCAGGCGCGTCCATTTTGAGATACTCGTAGAGAACCATCTCGTAAATGTGTTTATCAAGTTTACAATCAAGACGTTGTGGAATGTACGGGGCCACGGAGCGCAATTGATGTACGGTTACAAATTTAAATATGTGCTCCTCCCAGAGAGCTTTGTTACGACCAAATACTTTTAAGCAAAGTTGCGCTGCTGTATCAAACATATTTCGGCTGAGCAAAAAGTCTAAATATTCAATGCCAAAGTTTACGATGTTATAGCGCCGACTTTCACGATATTTACTATTCATTAATGCCACCAAAGCTTCTTCGTATTTCCTGCATCAGAAATATATTGCACAAATTAATTTTATGTAAATTGAGTAAATAATCAATCATACCCGTGATTTTTAAGCCATTGAATACGATCATCAAGATCATATTGACTTGCGACAACAATGTCTTTAGGTGCGACTATAAAAAATCGATTTTCTTCGATTAAGACATCTAAATGGTAATCGTTTACGGTGTAATCTTCATAACCCCTTAGGGAAAGGCTATCGGTGCACACATCAACATAATCGTTGTCACGATATTCGACTATGAATAGCTGCGGACGCAATGATTGTCCGTCAGAATCACGCTCCTTTGGATATCCTAATAGCACTAATAAATGATCTAATGGCGCAATGCCACTAATATAAAAATCCACTTTAAATGTTGAAACTAAAATTGATTAGGATTAAACTAATGAAGTAATTTAAATCTTTATAAATATACTTGGATCTACAAGATACTCAGGTAAATCACGATTTGCCAACTCGTTGGTACTCCTTTTTCGTATCACGCATACACGCACTGTGTCCACCCAGCCAATCAACAATGTCCGACTATCGGCCCATCGAAGATTACATCGAAATTTATCAATGCTGTAATCATAAATATTAAAACATAAAAACTGCAACCCATAATTATATTAAACATACTCTGGATGCTCCTCCCATTTAATTAAACCTAATGAACAGTGTGCGTTTATATCGTACACTCTGACTCCTATATCGCTCGCCCACGCGATAAAGTGTTCGCCCCATGTCATGCTTTTAACATACCCCTCACTCTCACATAGTACTGTCGGCCGCACCCTACCAAGAAACGTTTTTTCATGAAGTGTAAGTTTGTCATCTCCTAAAATAAATTAAAAATTTAAAATACAAGACATTGCAAAATTAATATTTGTACCTGTAATAAAACGTTTTCCACTAGTTTTGTAGTACTCTGGATCTAAAGCAACTGTTTTTATTAGTCTGCCAATATTATAGTTATTGTTATCCTTGTTGCAAAGCCCATGTACAAAAATTTTGCCATCATCTGAGCAAGTTGCCAAGTAGTCTCCCTTTACATCTATAGATATCTGATTAACAGTTACTGTATGGGCCCCAATATCACCTTCATTTTCACCCCCAATTGCATTGCCTTCATGATCTAAGAGATGAATTACACCCCAATGAGTACCCAAGCAAATAAACTGAAATAAAAAACAATGCTTTCTAAGATAATGTTATAGATATATTGTATTTACTATACTTTTGGGTGTACAGCTATACAACTGGCTGCATCCCTGGACAAGATTTTGAGCAGATCATTTTGCAGTCTCTTGTATTTAAGCTTTGGCTCAATTTCTTCCTCAATGCTTTCAGTATCACTAGGGCAATCCTAGAAATATAAATTTCACTTTAGCTATTTTTAAACTGATAACATTAATGTAAACTTACAGTTAAGCTGGGTTCAGACATATTCATTTGTACATTCTTAGTTTCAGAGGTATAAAAATATTCATTATTCACATAGATTTAGATTTGAGGTAAAATGAGGTAGAACGCCTACATTTTGTGAGGAAACATTTGCGTTCTACAGAAGCACTAAGTGATCAAGAGGGCGATCGCAAAATATACTGTGTACGAAACTGTGTAGATAAGTGTGTATTATTCATATGTGAATCAGCTGTTCTAGGGATATTTCGGTTCTACCTCAACCGGTGAGTAGTAATATTACAGTTTCCTGTTCTAGTTGGTGAACCCACAATTAGATGGCGGTAGTATCGACACTTTTCAAATAGTTTCATTCTGCCACGCGTAGATGGCGCTGTAATAGGCGCTCTCGATCTGCTGTCGATTCTCTTTCGAATTCGGTCGTTTTTTGGTTGTTGTTTTGTGTGTACGTGCTGGGTTCATCTGTCGACTTTCGAAACCACGGAAATTGCATTTTTCTGTTTCGGCGCGCAGATTTGCGTTTGGTTTAGATATTTTGCATTGGTACTTGATCTCCTAGAATAGCCGTGTTAAATTTTCTGCAAAACTTCTGTATAGCAATATTTCAAAATATTGGTTTTTGTTTGTTTTAGGTGCCTAACGAGCGAACTATACATCGCATTGTAAGTATAAAAATTCTTTATCATTTGCATACATAACTTTCGTTCAACATAAAAACACTAAGTTGCAATGTTAAATATATGATTAACATTAATATGAAGCATATGGATTGTGCAGGAGTTGCATGTCATTGGAAGAAGGATAGATAGATTGGCATTTTTATTGTGATAGAGTAGGATAGGGATAATTGTGTATGGCGTTCACCATCAATGTTGTATATATGATCCTAGTGATTTTCGCCGATTGTTTTGAAGCCTTTAAATGCGAATTTGCACGCGGAATTCCATCAGCCAATATACAATCAGTGTTTGTTTGTGTATATAAGAGTTCTCTAGTTGCATTTCCTGAGTTGGCTATCCTGCATGCGACCTTGTTGGTTGCAAATAGTGTGCATTGCGTTGCGGCGTGTGCGCAGGATTATCGCGTTGTGTCCTTGCCGTCGTTGACTGCGTGCTGCGCTCAGCGTAGTTTTGTGCGGGTCGCGGGGTAATTCGGACGCGTTTCTCGAGACTGTTATCTTTTATTTTGAGTTTGTAATTCGGTAAAACGTCTTTATTTCGACTAGTTGCGTGTCGTTTGGTCAACCATCGCCGGTAATCTGTGATAGTCATCGTGTTTGGTGTTTAGTGGGATGATCTGTACGTGAGCCATTTTGCCCGTGGAACATGGACAAAAATCTGCGTGGAATACCAAGAAAGAACGGTATTGTGCAAACTTTATTTATTTTTATTTTTTTGAAATTGTCATCCCTATTTAATTCACCTATGTGTGCATGTATTGTTTTAGAAGTTTTATTCATACGAGTGCAGTTAAGTCTTTGCTTACGCCGGGTTAGAGCGATATCTTATTTTGTAATAGTTTTGAACATTCTTATCTATTTGCATGCGGTGAAGCGACAATCTTAAACCTGTGTAGCCGTGTTCAGTATTATTGTATTTTAATATAATTCAATTTTAGTTCTAGGTGATTTCTACGTCAAATCATCATTTAATGGACGGCACTGCACATCAGTGACTTGGCTACCAACAATGGTGTCCATCAGTGACTTGTCTACCAACAATAGCGTCCCATCTTTTCCATGTTCCAGTTATTTGCTTGCACGCCAGAAAAGGTTATTACAGACTTTCATGATTTTTCTTTACCCAATTTGTAAATTCGGTTTTTCTATTCTGTTTTATTAATTCGCGGCAGATGACTACATGTAATTATTTTATTGCAATATCAAATTTAGATGGTTCACTTCTATTATTTTTAATATTTATTTATTTTTAGAATTTGGAGCCTATAACACCCACTGACGTTTCGATGGGATACCTATATAATTTGCCGTTTATCTGGTAATCACTTCTTGCGCTCCCACATTATTTTTCAAATCACTACAAATAATGCGCCCGGGGAAAAATGAAAACTTCCCGACTTTTAAAACCACGAACGCATTCTTTTAGTTCACTTATAATTAGAATTGTATATATTTAGGGACCTTTGACATTTAATTTGATGAATGCTTGTGGAATAACATGCAATGGATACACTTTGCAAAATATTAGTTGATTTATGGACGGATTTTACCCATCCAGTTATTTGCTACAAAATAAATTTTCTGGTACATATTTTTACTTCATTATGAAAATGGTTATCAAGAGTTTACATTGTTTTGCACATTTTAACGCCTCACGACTACTGTATTGTATTATTGCTTGTCGTGTTTATGGGACGAGTTTGCGTTTTATTTGTTGGTAATGCGGATAAGGGTATTTGTTAGTTGCCGCACTGTTGTTGTCTAGCTTTAACTCGCGAAGGGGGCGTTTCTAGGAATGTTAAATTAAATTCTCCTTGGGGTTGTATTAGCTTGTTGCAGAAGTTGCGTTTGCAACATATGTAAAGTCGAAAATTGGGTGGTTAAGTGGGATTAAGTTTTTGGGTATAGCTTGCAAGGGGAGCGGCCTAGAATTTTCAACGCGGTGTCTGTTGGAGAAGCTTCAACAACAGTGCGCATAATCATAGATTTGTGTTTGGTCGTGTCATTCTCTTGAGCACATATCCATGATTGCTGTTTGTGTTATGTAATTGTGTATGTAGAACTTGAGAACTTCTATTATTGTGTATATGACTTTGCTGTATTGTCTTATGTATTAATGTGTTCATACATGTTTGTTGTACTGTCCACTTAGAATTCGTTTTTATATGTAAATGTTTTGTATTACATTGTAGTTGTTTGTGTTTTAATGTTTATTGTTCAATAAAACATAATGTAATATTATATACTTCTTCATATTTATTTCTGGTTTCCCCTTTGCCGTCTGCAGGATTGATGTCTTAAATCATATTCCATATAAATCTTAAGTGCGTCGAGCGTGTATAGCTGTTGTTTGTGTTGTTGTTTTTAAAAAAGTTGAACAAAGTAGAACCATAAATAGAAGAATCAAATAACAAGGATAAAATCACTCGGTGGTCTAGTGGGTATGTGCACCTGTTGGCATGCTAGTAGACACGGATCGAATCGCAGGTGTAGAAGGCATTTTTCTCAAATATAAAAATAACGGGTGAAATTTTGGTTGCATATGTGTAAACTCAAATAAAATATAAGAAAAATTGCAATACAAGTGAAGAATAAGAAAGTAAGAGTAAGTGGAGAAACGGAGAAGTAGAAGAAGTAGAAGAAGGAATAGCAGAGAAGTGTAGAGAAGACAGAAGGAAGAGAACCGAGAAGATAAGAGGAGGAGATGGAAGAAAGAGAACAGGGGAGGATCAGATTTTTAAATTTTTTTGGCGGCGTGTCGTTATAAGACAGTCTACAGGTCGCTCCGTCCATCGCTCCCGGCCCATCCTACAGCTACGATATCTCTGCGCTTCATCCCCAGGATTTTTAGGCATATCAACAATTTTTATGGTGGGGGATCACCCCCAGAGAGAGGGAACTCCTTATAAGGACAATCCTTATAAGGTTTTGTTAAAATATTTCTAAGTTTTAAGTCGCCTCAAGAGAGGTGACACTTAGACATTCAAATCGGCTGACGGCAAGCGGCGGCGCGTAACTTAAAACCATCTGGATTGTTGAAGATAAAAATAACTTTATTTTTAATGTAAATATTAAAGACATACGGGACTATGAGAGAGCGAAAAACTGTTAAGCATTACAAGATTTTAAATTGACAAAACTGTAATTTAAGGATGCTGGGAGTGCAATCGATTAAAAAACATTCACGGGTTCCAAGCGAAAAAATTAAATGCGACGTGCGACGGCAAAAGTGAGCAGTGTCGATACATATGGAATGTGCCAAATTTTAAATACTGGTTACTTTTTAAAAGCAAGTGTTTATGTGAAAATAAATCATCCATGTTATTTTTTAGAAGCTTAGGAACTAAAATTCCCAAGTAAAAATGCTACCTACCATGTGTTTGTAATTTTGCAAGATGATACATACAAATATAAATGCTCGTAGAATCCGTTTAAGTATGACTCATACTATATTGACCAACCGGTTTATTGCAGCATGAAATTACACGGAAAGTTCGGGTTTTACATATAATATTCTTTATCGACACCAAACGCTTTTGTATGACGTCACTTAATGCCAGTGTTTATGCAAAATGCCATTCATATCTCAATAGAATAATCAATTTAAGTTAAACCGACGTAACTTTCCGTAAAATTAATAACACCTACCTATACATTGGTAGTAGGATGATGTTGGTCGAAAAGTACGAAATTAATCAATTAAAACCACTCAAAACACATAGTGAGATTAAGAGGAACGTTCATGAACACGGAGTGGAAACAACTGCCGTGTGCGCTTCTACAACTGCGCCAAATTACCAGCTGCATTTTGTCGCGTGCGATACGTCAACAAAAAGTTGTTTATACACAAATGTACTAGTAAACTCGTAGTTAGAAAGACCAAACTAAAATTTCTGATAGTAGAGTAACCATTTATACATAATCTACTTTTACTTTCAAATATTCCTGTCACCAAGAAAAATTCAATGGCTTTGGGATGTCATAAAATTGAGAAAACAGGAATTTAATTTTCCATTTAGAAATAAATAATTTGTATATTAGTAGTTTATTGTATACGCTGAGCTGCCTCATTTTTTGTTGGTAACAAATATCGCTAAATGAATGGCGGTAGCTGCAAACAGTTGAAGATTATGATAGTTTGAAAAATCTCTATTAGATAAAATTTAAAATTATTTAATTTACTTGGTAAAAGTTAAATGGCTGCGTTAACATACCTCTCTTACAATGGAAACATTCACAAAACACGTGCACCATCGCGACCGCGGAGGAAGCTTCCTCCCCGTAACGCGCCACGCTGGTAAGTATCTACCTTAGCGCCGCCTCGGCTTATTTCTTAAAATGGTGAGATCTGAAACCTTGAAGTACCATATGTTATATATATACTGGTGCCGAACTGAAACGTTGAACGCCATATAAATTATTTCTGGTTTCTAGATAAATTTTAGTGTAGACAAGAGTAACTTACTTATTATAAGTGTGTAAGTATGTAAACTTGGTCACTGAACTAATAGGTACCAAAATACGCCGAAATTTATAATACTGGTAGTAAAAAATACATACAACTCCTAAAATATTTACTTTTTATCACAACCCTATATTTTTAAAACCATTTTGGTAATTTAATTTTTTTCATCCGCTCGAAAGAATGAGAGACTGAAGCCAGTCTTCTTTTTTCACTCACACAATAAGACTTCTGTCGCACCTACACAGTTTCAGCCATCAGTACATGGTATACGTATATCCAGTGTAGTAAATACTTGATTTATAAATTGGATTTAACAACACTTTTGCGATTCATTTTATATTCGCGGTTACTATTTACATTCATAATAATAAAATTATTGTTTTAAGTGTATTTGGCACAATTAGTTCAGTTAATTAAATTTTTCATACTGACACACTTATAATAAGTAAGTTACTCTTTGCTCTACACTAAAATTTATCTGAAACTAGAAATAATTTATATGGCAAACAACGTTTGCCCGGTTAACTAGTATATATATATAACATGCATAGTACTCAAAGGTTTCAGATCTCCTGTTGAAATAAACCACGAAGGCGGCGCTTAAGTGCGTCTTTACTGGCGTATAATTGCGGACGATGCGGACTGATGCGGACGTTCTATCGAAGTAACTAGCGGCGCCTAGTGAATTTATGAAGTAAACACTCGTTAAAAACTTAAACTGAATTGTTTATTTGCATGATACAAGAGGTGTTTGTTATCTATATCTGCATTGAAGATATATAAAACACATAACTATACATAAGCATTACAAAATAAGAATTCACTCAATATTTATTTTTCACTTTAATTCCAGAAATGTGTATAACAGAATATTTATAAACTTAAATATTTAGAAAATTAAATTTACTTTCTCAATTTTTATATATGTTTAATATATAATTATCGCTTTTTTGTATGCCGCGATCATGCATCGTTTGTTATTTGGCTTACAATCACTGAATAAATACCTCAACATTCCAAATTGCTTAAATTATAGAAATATAGTCACAATTACGTATAGCATGTCTTTATCGTATCGTATATCACAATAAATTGGGTCAACCAATGTGAAACATACGAGAGTCACAAAATAAACAATATGTACGAAAACGAAATTTCTATCCGCAGATTTTATTAAACTTTATTGACTAGTGCTGTACTTGCATCGGTTTGCCCTTCCTCTGCCTCTTTCACGGTGCTCACGGAAGTGCTTGGCTCGGTGTCCGTATGAAGTGGGAGGTTGCCACTATTTGCATCTTCGATGGCTTTTCGCAGTTCTTTCAACCCCACAACACCAACCAACTTACCAATAGCTGTTACGTACGCGTGATTTACGCCTACCATGGAGAAAAGCGAATGAACTTTAAGCAGAGATGTTCTGCCGACAAGCTGGAATGGTGCAGGATCAACATGACAACCGGTAAAGTGAACAGGTAGTGACATTTGTTCTTCTTCCCAAATGCGTTGATCTTCTGGTGACATATCGCAAACTCTTTCTCTAGGCTATAACAAATTTAATAATTTATGTTTTAATACCAATAGAAAACAACATACCAATTGCACTTTTTTATTTGTGGGATTCATAGGTATAATTTGTGCATCAATACCATGATCAAGCACAGGTGTACTGTCACTATTTTGAACATCTTGTAATTGCGTTGACTTTCTGAAAATTGCTTCAAACGCCAGTCTCATTCGACTCTCGGCCCCCGTAACAGTAGTGTATGGTGTAGATCCTGGACTTGTTTGTATTAAAGGACTAAAACCCTTCAGTGTGAAAGAGTTAGTTTTCTTTAAGATGGATTTTTTTGGTTGACCTCCAAAGACGGGATTGAAAGTGGATGGTTGATTTAGTTGGTTTTCAGAAAGATTTTTTACGCCCAATACGTCAGGAGCTGGAACAACTTGAAATCGGCTTGGTCGACGTTGTCTCAGTTCTTTTGCCCTTCGTTCAGCTTCGGCACGCTCAGCAGCTACCTGTAGCCGCCTCTCGCGTCCGATTTGATGATCTATAAGTTGTATCAGTTGGATACGCTGCATAGACCCAAGTAATACCATATTATCTGGGTTGTCAACAATAGGAAAACTTTGCAACTGACGCGCATCTTTAAGCACCGCTTTCAGTTGCTCGTATGTAATGGTGTGATAGATGTACTTAACTTCACGAAGCATGAAGTCTTCCACATAAATATTATACATTCCTATAATAGATAACACAATTATTGCATTTGAAACAATGACAACATCATATTTAACATACCGCTACTACTTGGAAGTAAATCAGGTAAATATGGAAGTTTCTTGATGAGAATGATACTGTCGTATATACTTGGGGCGAGAAGACTAGCAATTGCATTGCTGATCAAAACAGCAATCATGATTGGAATGATGTGAGTAATCTGACCTGTCATTTCAAATACAATAACAGAAACGCTGATTGTGTGTGTTACAGCACCACTAAAGGCTGCCGAGCCAACGGCAGCGTAACCTCCTGGAACAATGGGCGCCACCAAACCGCCATAGCGCATTCCTTGTGGGAACCATATATGCATACTTTCACCTACAATTCGTCCCAGAGCAGCGCCTATTTTGAATACAGGAATGAAGCTGCCACTCGGTACAGGTATAGTTGAACTAATTATAGAAAATATAAACTGGAACACAAGATCTAACTTAGTATACAATTATTTGCAACTTAGATCTCGTTTGTTTTTACAAAAACAGAAAACAAGCATTCATTTAGGTTAATTAGTTTGTTGAATAATGAAATTAACACCACACAGGTCTAAAAATACAACTTCAATAGTCCGTTGTTTACTTACAGTGAATGCGACGAATGCACTCAAATTAATGAGGACGCCGCTATACGGCGTCTCCCAATGATTGAGCATTGCTTGTTCTTCCACTGTTAAATTCTGCCGTGTCCAAGTAAAGTTACTGAAAAGGCTCGCAACTTGATCATGGGTGGTCAAATCACCAGCCATAAATTGTCCAAGTCCCAGTGGGAAAGAAACCGTTGCCACTACTAATGACACGATCCCAGGATAAATAAAACGACTAAAATTTTAACGTTAATAAATTACTGTAAATATTTTTAAGTCTTGACATACTTTTTTTGAAGGAACGTGTTAATCGCCTTGTTTTTACGCATAAACATTACGTATTGTCGATGGACCCACACGTAAAAAGCACCCCCAACTCCAGAAACAACTCTAAAGTAATAATTGATATTATTATGGTATTTAGAATGTGAATTTGTAAATTATGTATTACCCTATTAAAGCAAAAACGAAAAGTTCCTGGGGATCAAACGGAAAGTCCATAGCAAAATTTGTTCGAAAGACTGCCGTCACTGTGTCAGCACCTTCAAACCACACAGCCAGAAGTCGAAAAATTGTCGCACCACAGACAGCGGCAAAGAAGCCGCGCCAATAGTTTCTCACAGCAAAGTACACCGTAGTTACTTCTATGCTGAACAGCACACCTATGATAAAACTTAGAATTGAACGAAATCACTTTGAAAACATGAACCTCCTTGATGTTGCTTACCTCCTACAGGTGCAGCAAAACAACTAGCAACTCCCACAGCGCAAGCAGCCGCCAACATTTCTGTAGTACGACTTTCGTTTTCATAAATGCCTTGAAATCCCGTAACCAATTTACTAAGCAAAGTTGCCACTATACTAGCAATGTGGACAAAAGGACCTTCTTTACCAAGCGGCATACCGCTTCCTAACGTTGCAGTCAAACCAATTACCTTAGCTACTAAGGTTCTGAACGTGAGATACTCTTTCAAAGCAACTCCGCGAAGAATAGTTTTCATTTCTGGAATACCCGAACCAATAGACTGAGGTGCCACCAGATGTACGAATCCAGCACTAAATAAGATGAGACATACCGGAAGTGATACCCAAGCGGCGTATTGTGCGAGGGGATGGTCTGTAAGATCTCTAAATAACCATATTCTTGCTAAATATACAAAAAAGAACATTGAATAAAACGTTATTAGTATTATAAAATTCTACCTTTGTTACACATAGAAATCCCACGATCCATGATAAAACTTAATACAGCCATGATAAGCCCAAGAAGGGCCAAGAAGACCCAGTCTTCCCCCAACCTTGCAAACGTGTGCTGCCATAGATAAGAAATTGTTTTAGCTAGTTTCCCTTGATAACCGCGCAGCTCTTTTTTACGTTGTTTTTCTTCTTTCAGTCGTTTCTTTTCTGCTTGTTTAAGTGCTTCTAATTTTGCAAATTCGCCCAATTGACGACTGTAGCGTCCATACATCTAAAATATTTAATAAAATGTCAATATCTTTGCAAAAGGCACAACATGAATTAAAATTTAATAATTCTAGGTCTGCTATATAAAATATATACAAGAGAATTGAGATAATCATCTTCGGGTGCTGGACATGGATAAAACGATTGTTCCTTCTTCGATTTCTTCTTTTCAGCCAGCTTACTAAATTCTTCCCATTCGCGGTCAACAGCATCCATATCCGCATCCGCAAACTGAGACTCACTAATAGGATTAATATTTTCCATTTTTATTTAAATTTTTAGGGTGTTTGTTCCTATATTAGGTAGGTATTTTTGTTATAACTTGCACTGTGACATGAGAAACTTGATGCACTCGAAGTGCTACACACTAATAAGCAAATGTACGACTTCCTTGGCGTGACGCTCAATGGTGATTTGGTGATACTGTCAGCATGCTGGACGCTGGACGGAAATTCGCCACACTTGCTTAAATTACCGGCCAGTCCAAGTGTATCATAATCATTTAATATTGTTCAGACCTATCAATCTAGAGAGTGTTACAAAACTTTCAAGTTATTTCTTAAACAATTTTAACTACTATTTTAAAATGTTTTTAAATACTACTCATTATTTAAAAAATTCTGCCTTATTTTGTTGCATATTAGAATTAAGCCCAAAATTAATTCCGTTTCACCTCAAGCTTTTTGAACATCCTAATGGATGATATTTTCAATGTTACACTTTATTTACACACATTCAGAGCCGAATGAAAACAATTTTCTAATTTATTTCGATTGAACTAAATTTCCTTGCTTATATCTTTTTGCATTATGCTGTCGGTAAGCTCAGTAATACTCTGAGCAAGTTGGGCCTCACATTCGGTTATGCACATTTTAGCATAGTATTTTTAATAAGTGTAATTAAAATCTTCTTGATAATAAATTATACCTGCACACGTGGATATCTTGTGGTGTACACTTGCGACTCAGGTAATGGTACTTTAAATTTGCTCATTTTGCTTGTAGTTGGAGATAATAACATGCACAAAAATAGATGTTTAATCGAAGAGGTATCGTACCTGATTAATTGGTAATTATACATTTAGTAGCGTCTTAAATTAGAATCGCACAAATAATCCTTGTGTAATTGGCTTATCATATTATTAACAGTTGAATAAATATGGATTCGTAGTAAATATTTGACTAATCGGAAGGTTTGAATTCGTTGCATTTGAATGTGTACATTTTACGTAGGTGGAATGATAAGAATAAGAATATAAATATTAATGTTGTGCGATTGTATTTAACAATAGAGAATACGATAAAAGTCTAATACGCAAATAAAAATAGTGGATAAGAATGAATATGAGGAAATAAATTAAATATATTTTTAGATTCCAGAGTTGTAATTTTTTTAGAAATAAGTATAGCTAAATTAAAGTTGGAATATTTATAATTTAATCTTTTCAATTTATTTTTTACATTGTTGTGTACCTCACAACTTTCTGATTTTGGTTAACTTTTGATTTATCTAGTGTTAAATATATAAATAAATTACCATATTTGAATATTGTATCAATAAATCGAACTAAATAAATACCTATATACAAAAAATATATGCATTAGATCTGAAATACGTCAATAAAAGCAATAGAGAGCAACACTTTTAATTGTAAATTTGTTCTCGGATATTACTAGTATCTCTCAAGGTGATTAAATATTAATGCCTTAAAAAAAGCGCGTTAAACTGTGTCATAGCTCGCGCCAAAGGCGTCACAACCACAAAACGTATATTTGTCCAAGCAAGCAGTTTACAAATGATAAACTTGCAAATTAATCACATTACGATTGTGTTGCTCTAGCTGAGCAGGTTGTTATTGCTTGTACGTTCACCGACAAAAAATAAACAATATAAAATTAGTTCCAAACTTCGTAAATCGATTCAGATTTTTGCAATAAAAATATTCGAAGGGTGAAAAATGTGAGCAAATCATTGATCAATAACGGAGAAAACTATAAATGAGACTATAAATGTTTTCCTCAGAATTACATTTCACAACATCGCTCTGATGATGATGCGAACAAACTACTTGCAAAAGCAAATATTTGCAAGCGTCGCGGTCGAGGTCCTCACGCGGTTCGATCGAAAATCAACAAATCGCCGATCCCATTTTATTAATGACCCTACGTTCGTCATCACAGGGCATAAAAAAATATGGCAAAAAAAGAAAACACACACACTTCGCAGAAAACATGGTAATTATATCCTCATTACCAGGTCACCAACATGAGAATCGCAAACAAACACAAAATTGAGATATTCAGACAACCGCAAAGACGCGAGTTCTGAAATTTGGTAAACTTCATAATCAAAAGGTCCTTGAATATAAATTATCATGTTTGCACGTGGTGTTACATGTTTATTGCCATCAACAGTTTACGATTATATTTTACAATGTAATTTTTACATACTTTTGTCTTTTTAAGGCTTTTTATATTGCTTCATTTTAATACAAGCACGTGGAAATGACAATAATGTTTGAATTTAGTGTTGCGCATTCCTTGTGCTGAAAAGTGTGTTAATTAATCTGTGGCTAGTAAGCAATCATCGTCTAGAGTCAGATTGCGTCATGTGATTTGCGCGGCGCGGTCATTAAACACAATGCCGTCGGGCAAGGAATTACCTGTCCCAGTTGATTGCGTCGCGCGCCTCTATCTGGTATGTCCAACCAAGTTCAACGCGTCAAGTTCAAACGGTAAATTTGTAAATTATTGCCAAACGCTTTTTATTGTGATGCGAGACAGCTAGACGCTAAATGTGCCAACATAAGGTAACCTATTATTTGTATGGTTGAGCTTTACGTCTACACGAATGATGAATTAACCGCGAACACAAAATTACATGACGTTTGGTTGCTACTCGTCTTTAAAAATGCTTCCAATTCATTTTTAATGTAACGTTTGATTTAAAATATTTATATGGGAAGTACCTAATCAAGCAAAGTTTATAATTTTATTATTTCAAATGAGACAATACAGCAATTTAAAACAATTTAATACGTATATATCTACTACAATAAACTGTGCAATTAATTTTGATGATAGTATTACCTGCATGTGATTTAATAAAACACGTGATGGTTTGCTAAATTGCAGAATATCAAAGTAATTAAGTTATGAATCAAATTTACTTACAACTTCTAAATTGGTAATATCTGTTTTTTGCGTCACATTGCAGCCGTCTGGCAGGCACCGAATGAGCATTACCCAATAAAAAACAGCGCATAAAAAAATTCTATGAAAAATGCATTACATTTTTCACTGCCTATTTGCATGTTCTTTTTTCATTAAACAATTCAATTATGGCATGTTTACGTCAAAACTCTACTAAACACAAAAGTTACTGATATCATAAATTGATAGTTTTGTTTGTAAATTTTCTTGCTTGCAGTGTAATGCAACCACGTAGCGAGATAGTTAAGGACATTTTAAAATTAAATTTAATGTCACATGCGGACGGGACTTAAATTTGCCGGAAATGATTAATACTATTAACAAACTGAACAATCAAGTGCAAGCACGATTATGCGATACACGCGCGTCGGCGTCGGATTGGTGTAATCGAAATCGAAACTACAAAAAGAGTTATCACCATTTAAGAAATCGGCAGTACTAGCAATATCCGTGATTGATATGTCAATTAACTGGTTATTTTTGCTGGAGACAAAGCAACACAATAAATCCAGTTATAATTGCATAATACTCTAATAGTCTAGCTTGAGGCAGATATTAAATCGCTTATCTCAGCGCATACCTCGTTCGCAGCATGGGTGTTTTCATTTGTGTTAAACTTTAAACGACTGATAAGGAATTCTCCTTCTCGCTCATATTATCTGTTGACTCTGTGCTCACGCGTATTTCTATGCACACTCTTGCAAGTTAATCAAACCGCATGATATTATGTGTATTTTGCGAATGTTTTTATTTTACTTTGTGAATATAAGAAATGTGTCATTTAACATATATGTTGGAATGTTTGATAACCTATCTTATATATTGTTTTTGCGTGGAGAAAACCAAAGAAATCTTACAATTCCACTTATAAATAAATAGTAATGACTATTAATATGACAACTGTCTCAACAATACAGGTATTACTCTATAAATTAATTTTATAATTTTCGCATATTTTCATATTTTAAAAATGTTACGAAAGATTTATTGCAAAATTAGTTATTGATAAGCAGAAGTATTAAATACTTGACACACTTTCAGTAATACATTGTAGTTTTCAAGTTCAAATTTTCCACATTTGCAAAATAATATATTTGTCGAAGGTACTTACAATAGTATTCTGATAACCCAATCCATACTTCTCGTTGGGTCGTCCTGGTTCTTCTTCATCAGCCATTTTGTTATTATTATGTTTTATTCACTATATGTAAGCTCACAAATTATCCTTATCCTCTTTTTCAATAAATTACAATTGTCACTTTTCTTTACGACTCATTCCCAAAGTAGAAATTCACAAGTAAAACAGCAACTGTCACTCAGAACTCATATATTTAAATTCCAACTCAAACACATGATCATCACGACTGGAAGCGCCGTGGAAGACTTTTTAATTAGCGTTGATAATTTTAAACACAAACCATCATGATGCAACCACACGAGATACTCGCAATTGTTCACCGCCAAGTGTACCTGAAACCAATATAGCAATGTGAGTCCTATTTTCAATAATAATTGTTTCGATTAGCATTCACCGCATCACGAACAAACGCTTTTCAGCGAACACAATTGAACGTTTTAATGTGATTTTTATGTGCAGCAGCGCGGCGTACTACTTACAAATTGATTTTTATGTTTTATTCGATTTGCAGGGTAATGTGATGCCGTCATTTAGCAAAGTAAACGTGCCAAAATACATATATCAAGTGTGAATCGAGGCGGTTATCGCAATTCAACTAATTGAAACTATAGGTGCGTACAAATGACATTGACAAATCTCCAAATGACAATCGTTATCTCTCATATGTCAAATATACTAAACTTGTGCTTATTTACTACATAAAGTATTTATAAAAATTGACCAGTTTGTTTTTTAGTAAATTAATGTAACGTTGTATAACTTGCTAAGATTTGACACAAACGCATTTCTCTTAGAGTTATCTTTAAATAGATACCTGATAAGAGAAAAATTCTAATGTAGCATGAAGAAAAGAAACAATAAAATCATGTAAATGAAATTAATGGTTCAAAGAATTGTGTAGTTTTATGTCTGTGTGTTGTATTACTTTTACAGCTGAACTTTTTAAATTTCAAAGTATAAGCTATGGAATGATGCACGTCATACCTTATTTTGTTATAAACAAATGCTATTGTGATAGTTTAGGATAAATATTAAATAATGTAGTGATTGATAGTTGTTTATTTCGGAAGTAAATTTATCTTATCTATTTATGCACGATCAACAAAGGATCAAGAGTCAGATGAAAGTAAATTATAACAAACTTTCAAGAATGGTAGCATTCTATCTGCACCAGTTCAAAACACATTTCATATCAGTAAATAAACGCGCAACATGTGAATTAGGGCAATAAAACCGTTGTTTTTCCTATTGCATGAGATGTTATGTCTAAAACACATAAAAACTAGAGGCCGACCGAAATTTCGGTTTCGGTTTCGGCCAGTTTCGGCTTCAGTTTCGGTTTCGGCCGCACCGAAACTCACTTTTCGTGAATTGTCATGCGTCGCTCGGCTAACTTCGCGGCTAATGGCGGTCGTTACTTGCCATCTTAGTTCGCTCATATTAATACTACATTAAGTATCAAGTGACAAAACGAGGACTTTACTCCCGAAATGGATTATGCATCTAAAAAACGTGGAAAAACTGGCGATGTGTAGGTAAAAGTAGAAAAATATGTTTATGTAAATTAATTTCGGTTTCGGTTTCGGCCGAAACTGATTGCAAGGCCGAAATTTCGGTTTCGGTTTCGGCTAAAATTCACTTTCGGTCGGACTCTAATAAAAACAAAAATTTGAAGAGATTTCTTTTCTATGTGTATTACAATTGCGCAACAATTGCTGTAACTTTGTTATGAACCAGACCTTGAATTCCGTTTTCCATCTAGTTTTTCACGAGGACAGTGTGAAATAATATTGCCAATCGTGCTCGTTTACCAGTCATGCGATATTCAAGTTTCATTTTACATTTCACGTCTACGCGAAACACGTGCAATTGCATCGTGCATAATGATCGCAAATATCCGCGCCGCGTCATTGTCTCCTCGGGAATCCGGAATCGCATAACGAGATAGCTTTTTTTATAATAATTAGAACATGTACAGGCGGCAGCAGCTCGAGTCTAAATTCGACGGTGTCAGCGTTCGGTTTTCGGCAGACGCCTTGGCCAACGTCCAGTCCGATGCGACACAATCTTGCGTTTTTAAATACCACACCGCGAGCGTTATTTCAACGCCCACAAATGACACGAAACAAAACAAACAGAAATTTTGAACCTAATAAAAGCGATATAAATTTGCAAATTCAAACCGGTGGCATTCAATTAACTCAAAACTTTACAATCATTGAAATAAGCACCGTTGTGAAGTACGAAAACCACCGGTAAATAAATGCATAACCTAACGTTTTATTACAACCAAAACTTTGCAATTTAAATGTAAATGCATAAATTTACAACTTACATAACGTTGTCGCAAATATATCTTCGACAATATCGATATCCATTCGAAATAGATTAAACAAACCTATTTATATTTTGTGTTGTTGCACGCACACTGCCTAGTTGACCGAAATAACATACACTCACACTATTTTAAAGATTTGTTTTATATGGCACTACCATTTAAAGATTTAGATATAAATAATAATCTATATAATCATTGTTTAAATATTCGTATGCTCTCTGGAGAGGTGCGCGGAACAATTAGTTGTGCCGCGTTAAATGCGCGCGCGACCGCTGACTGTTTGACACACCGCGTCGCGAGCTGTCGGTCTTAATACTGAACGATGAAAACATTTCGAATTACGCGTATATTACAACCGATTATAACTTGCCGGTTAGCTAATAGTATATCGTGTACCTCAGCGGCGCGTTTGCATGCTCCGCGCGACCACAATATATCAATGTCTACGCCCGAGACACTGTTTGTTTGCGAGTCTATTTTGTATTTTTTGCGCGGATTTGAGATAGCACTGGCAACCAAATAAACAAATATTAAAATATTGTAACGATTGTGGTGGATAACATTTTATCAACGAACTCTCCACTTGGGCTAAATTAATAATGCGACGGATGGTTAATTAACGATATCAGCAATCAACAAAAATCAGAGAAGCAAACAGTACTTGAACTTTTTTTGCGGAATCATTTTCAATCATAAATATTTTATAGCATCATCTGATGTTTTAATAATTCATCAATTTATAACTATACCAAACCCGAAACTATAAATATAAATATTCAGTTATTTGAACTGCGTTGGTTGAAATTATTCACTTCTTAATAAATGCACATTCGAGATATGTTTTGTTCTGAATATATGGATATAATTGCACCTGTAATTTGTATATTATTTATAGAAAATTCAATAAAACAGAACTTATTATTTTTATGTTTGTATTTTTATTGCAAGTGATAAAACTACATTTTAGATTGCAACTCTTTCATGTTTATCTCAGCGTGGTAACACAGCAAACTCCGTTAAATTGAATGTAAACCTACTGATACAAGCAAACAATTTACCTGCTCGCACCGTGCGTGCTCACACGGACGCGGGGCACTCACAGCAACAAACAAACATCTCGTATCACTGATAAAAACAATTCTGCGAGAGCATGGAATCATATTTAATGCAAGAATCTGCATACACGCGCCATCTAGGTTTATATTATCGAGTTATATTTAAGTAAGTGGCACAGCATGAATTCCCAAGGACACCAGTATAACCAGTCAATTCAACTGGAATTCGCTGATGCACACACAACGTGATCGCACAAACAAGAAAAATGTTCTTTGATAACCGTGCTTCGAATTTAATGCCAATATCTACATGCTAACCCCATCTATGGTAGTTTAATAGAGTTATACTTAAGTCAGATGTGCAAGTTGTGTTCAAGTACTTAATGCATTGTGCATTGTACTTAATGCATACAGATTTTTAACAGAAAATTTATTAGAATCTATGAATATAATAGTTAATAAATCTCTAAATAAATAAACTAATATTCCCAAAAATGTTTAATTGTATATTGCAGTCTTTTAGGCTTCAAAAATAGTTCAGTAATGCTATTTTAACATTGGCAACTCCCGCCGAGATTTTTCGGAAAAAGCTTTCTATCTAGGCGAGCTCTGCGACACACTTGTGAAGCACTCCTGTTTCCATTTCCTGCAAGACGGCGCTGCTGCGCATAAAACGAAGTTAGTCGAACACCAGCAGTAAGCTTTCGGATCAATTCGACCCTGAAAGCTCTTTCCTTCTCATACTCCTTTGATTTCTTATTTTGATGACTACAGTCGAGACGTTTGATTACATTACTACATTTAGCCGCATTCAATGCGACCGCATACGATTTACGAATGCGAGACTGGTCTCCGCAGTCTGCTTAATTACCTCGCGTAGACTGTGCGCGTTGATAATCTTTGCTGTGTTGTCATTTGTTTTCGTAATATGTTATTCAAATAAACTCGGTCGTGCTTTGGGAACTAGGTTAGGATTCGATTGTAAAACAACAGTCGGTGCAATATAATATTTAAATAATTTAATTCAACGTGTGCAAATACCAAAAAAATCACCGCCAAAATGCCAGTCTTCCATACGAAAACCATCGAGTCTATTCTCGAACCGGTCGCACAACAGGTAATGCACGTTTGTTTACATTATCACATAACTTATTACTTTTAAGCGATTTTATTCAATATAAATCACGCGAGAAAACCGCGTTGAATATTATAATGCCAAGGTAGTTCGGAATGAGTTCATAGTACTAATAATATTCGAATTTTATAAACGTGGAATTTAGTTGGATTTTCTTTAAATTGCGCTAATTGATGACATAAGAATATGACAAACAAATGAATCATCGGGTCGCAGGCTTTCTAGTACTCGTCTCGAATAAATATAAACGAAAAACGAAAAGTGTAACACAACTGCGGCGAGGAAAACCTGGAACGCTGCCAAAAATTATTTTTTAATAGTTATTCTACCTATGTAGGCGCTTAGTGCTTAGGTGTGTAGTGTATATCCGCGCACCACGCCGGATACTACCTCTATTTTAGATTATGTTTGCCGTTTCGCCGCGTTTATTACTTGGCTGCAATTTTCTTCAACACTTTTCATATTATTACATTATAAGTTTCATTTATAAAAATGTATGATTTCTTTATTTTATGATTCTGCTTGCGCAAATAGTTTAATGTAAATATTTCAGCGGAAGTAGAACGCTATTTGCTGATATTTCGCATGATCTTCAAAGGTGCGCATTGTGTCGCACGTGTGCGAAAGTTTCCCATCGGCGTTGGTGTGCGAACCAATTTTCCGTGCACTTTAAAAGGCACGGGCGCGCTACTTGAATATTATTCGACTGCGGCGACTGCGGTCTTATTTTTAGTCCGGACGGGTGGGTGTGTCCCGTATTGTGCGAAGACGTTGCTTTTATCGCCTGTTTAATATCGGGTCCGACGCTCTGCGCTTTCGCGGAGTCTACCATTGTCCAGCAGGATAGCGAGAAGACGCGGAGTAAATATAATTGCAAGGACATCATTTATTTCTATTTAATACTGAAATATAATCGATAAATGTTATCACGGTCAACGTGATTATTCAAAGTTAAATAAAAATATTATATTTAATTTTTTATTATTAAAATAATAATTTGTAACCGAAATAAACGTAACACTTTTAAATTTAGCGCATTTTTTAATATTAGCAACTCGTAACGTGAACTAATTCCAGAAGGTATAATATTTAAACCATTTCTTATCAAAATACTGATATCTACAATCAATACACACCAAGTTATAGCTGTTTGCTGTTATTATATTTAATGTCGTTTTTTTTTTCTACGGAAACGACGCAAAATTACGGAATATCCTAAATTAATCACTTTTATAGTTATAGTCATGTTATAAATTGAATGATCATTGATTAAAAATGAAAGTGATGTAACACATGGCTTAAACAATAATAAATTTGTTAGCAACAATCCATTCGTTATAATCAAAGTAATGACTGTTTTCTGCTCAATAAAATATGTACATGCATCTAATGAACTTTAAATTTATTGCGCCGGCGATTGTTTGATGTATGCACAGGCACAAGGCACGCACTCGACCCAGTTTAGGTCAGCATCTAATGTGCACGCTGAAAACAGAAAACTGACCTAAATCGAAAATGAGACGACGAGCGTCGTATAAGCACATTCGCGACAAGAACGCGTCCGATGTCCGTGTTTGGCGGCGCATGGACACTTTGACTTCGTTCTCGCACAACGCATAAATTTGTGACGTGTTTAGTGTCAACCCACAATTGACTACGAACGCACAATAATTTCTATGATTTGTTTGCAATGCTTATCTGTTGAGGTTTTTTTGCTGTAGTTGTAGTTGTTTATTATAAAAGGAGCGTAAATCATTACATGCTTTACTATAATTGCTGTTTGTTTGTGATTTACTGGCATTAAACTGGATTTAATTTAAATTAAACACATGTTTCTATAATATGGTATTTTGTAAAAAAAAATAGTTGTGTATGTTGAAATTATTATTTTTTCCGCCGTCTAGTCATAGTTTTAGCTGGATCGGTGAAATACCCACAGATTTATTGATTATTTCAGTAAAACATTAACGCTATATTCTTGCGCGCTTGCGACACTTACACATTGATATTCACCGTTTGCATCCTACACGAATATTTCACGAATCACGAGAGCCATATGTTCGCATGAACTCTGCAATCCAATCAATGAGAATGCGCAATTCAATTTTCACGTTTAGAGTTATTGCCTACCGTTTTGCCATTTCGCGTTCCAGGAATATTACTCAACGGTATGCTAACACTGACTAATTAGCAATTCATTGCCGGATGGACGGAAACCAAATTCCGCTTTATTTAAAATAGAAAAAAAATTAATTTTCAAAAAATAACTTGTAGGTGTCACGATTAGTGATATTACATGAAGAAGCTGAAGATGGCAATGCAATGCCCAACTTGGAGCAGCCAGTGCGCACCGTCAGCGTGGCGGTGTCGAACTTGGTCAAGGTCGGCAGAGAAACCATCAACAGCAGCGACGACGCGATCTTGCGACAGGATATGCCCGCCGCTTTGGTCCGCGTCGAGAAGTCCTCGAAACTTTTGGAGGAGGCGAGCGGTATGCTTAAACAAGACCCGTTCAGCGGTCCAGCAAGGAAGAGACTTATCGAAGGCAGCGGTGGAATTCTCCAGGTAGAATTTCAACATTTTTTAGATAACGTCGTTGTAAGTAAGTACTATACTGTTTCGTTTTCTGTTGATAATTGCTCTAGGCGACATCGGCTCTACTGCTATGCTTCGACGAGTCGGAGGTACGCAAAATCGTGCGCGAATGCCATCGCGTTTTAGATTACCTCGCGGTCGCCGAGGTGATCGAAACGATGGAAGAACTCGTGCAATTTTTACGTGATTTAAGTCCGTGTTTGAGTAAAGTCACTCGCGATGTCAGCGCTCGTGAAAAAGAGCTCACCCACCAAGTGCACGCTGAAATCTTGGTGCGCTGTATTGAACAGGTGAAAACCCTCGCGCCGATTTTGATCTGTTCGATGAAGATCTACATTCATATCATGTCGAGCGGGGGTAAGGGTGCTGAGGAGGCAGCTGAGAATCGCGTGTATCTGACGACTCGTATGGCGGAGGAGATTAACGAAATCATTCGCGTATTACAATTGACCAGCTACGACGAGGAACAGTCTGATTTAGATAATATTACGGTGCTAAAGAAACTGCAGAATGCTATACAGAATAAGATTAATGCGGCTAATGACTGGTTGATGGATCCGCAAGCTTTGCGCGGCGGCATCGGCGAGAAATCATTGAGGCAGATCATTGATGATGCGAGAAAAGTCGCTGATCGCTGCATGCCGAAAGATGCTGAGTTCATCAGGAAACTGTGTTCTGATTTGACCACCATGACTGACGCGCTGTGCGAACTGCGCCAGGATGGTAAAGGTGCTACACCTCAAGCGGAATCTTTAGCTAGAGGTATCAAAGAGAAACTTGGCAGCTTGCAACAGGGTATTATGAACGCCGTGATTGCGGTGGACAAGGCAGGATTACAGCAGACTGCGCACACGGTGCAGGGACGTATTGAACAGGCTAGAAAATGGCTGACCAATCCTGGACAAGACGATAAAGGTCTAGGGAAACGTGCGATTGCATTAATTGTTGAAGAGGGGCGAAAGGTTTGTGTGATTCAATTTAAATGTAAATGATTTTTTGATGAGCGTTGTATTTTTAACGCGTTAGGTTGCCGAGGGACTTCCGGGACATCATAAAGCGGAAGTACAACAATTATGCGATGAAGTTGAGGCGTTGAGCAAGCGTTTGTCGGAATTATGCGCTCAAGGTCGTGGTGATTCTCCTGAAGCGCAGGAAATCGCTAGAAAATTAGCCCAGAAACTTCACGAATTGAAGGAGAAGATAAATCAAGCGGTTGTCAACCGCGTCGTGGAAGATTTTATTGACATCGTCACTCCGTTGAGGTTGTTTACCGAAGCTGTACTGGCGCCTGAAGGCTCGCCGAATCGTTACCAGAATTTTGAGGATAAGGCGGCTAATTTACAACATTTCTCCAATCGCGCAGTGAAAACTGCTCGCATGGTTGCAGCAGGTAATTTATTTATAACAAATTATTTTTTCATTGCTTATCATTTTAATTATTGATTATAGCTGTTAAATCTGAATTTGTTAGAAATACCACGCGTAAGTTAGTTTGTACCTGCGTGCGCTAAACGTGTGCCGTTTACCAAACGTGTTAATATGAAATTTAAGATGTTAAAGATGTTAAAAACAGTGCCATGACTCTTATCCCTTTAATGTCGAATTTTGCGATCAAAATATCGGGTTTTGCTAAAATGGGTACTAAAATAATCATCTTCTAGGTGGTAGCAGCGGAAATAAAAAATTGGCTGAAGCTCTTCAGAGTTGCGCGAATCAAGTGGATAGCTTGACTCCGCAACTAGTTTCGGCTGGTAGTATTCGCATGAATTATCCAGAGTCGAAGACTGCCGATGAACATTTTGAGAATTTGCGCGGGCAATACGCTGATTTGCTAACTAAAATGCGTAATCTGTGCGATGAAGCAACAGACTCAGCTGAGTTTATCAAAGCTACCGAAGATCAAATGAAAAAGCATACTTTCTTATGCGAGGAAGCCATCAAAAATCAGAACCCCCAAAAAATGGTGGACAACACTTCATCAATTGCGCGTCTTGCTAATAGGGTACTTACCGTGGCCAAGCAGGAGAGCGACAATTCCGAGGACCCAATGTTCATCGATGAGATCAATCGGGCTTCCGATGCCTTGCAACACAGTATCCCACCAATGGTCCAGGATGCGAAGTATGTGGCGATGAAGCCATCTGACGCCGCTGCTGGTTCCCGTTGGAGGGATTCTAATAAAGGGGTTTGTTTACAATTAATAAATAAAAATAACAAGCGAGTGTTTGTAATTATTATTATACTGTCTCTAGTTACTGAACGCGGTAGGAATGGTGCGCAAGGCTATTCAACCTGATTTACCGCCATTACCCGACATGAACGCTTTGAATCTGGGTAAGTTTTTTAACAGTTGGTTGGTGTTGGTGAAATCAAAGTGGTGGTGGGGCATTTAAATATTCATTGCAAAAATATCTCCTAAATATATATTGTAATTGCAGAACCTGTACAGCAGCAATATTTCCAAAAGCAAGGTATAAATATCGTCTGCGTTCATTACTATCTCTGTGTGTTTCGTTTTTCTGGTTTTGAATTCACGGTGTTCTTTTTATCACTGAATGTCGAAAATAATTCTTATTTGTTTTCTTTGGTAGAAGTTCATAATTCTTCATTGTACATTTTATCTTTAATCTGAACTACTAAGCGTAGTACGCTCACAGGCACTGTAAATATTAGTGTTCTCTGTAAAGTGCTTTCCATTTCTTGGGGAAGCCACGTGGAACGTCCAAACATGCTTTAACATTTTGTAGTTGGCGAACCGCTAAGAAACACACCGACTCCCGGGAGCGAATTGCGCGTCTTGAGCCCCGTCCAACATCAGCCAGGCAGAGTGAGTCCTCTGCCAAAATGGGCTAGAGGTATTGAAAGACAAAGCATACCTAATCGCAAACACAAACACCCAACACAATTAATTTATTCTGAACAAGCATGGAGCATCTTGATATGCGCAAAATGCAAACATCTATACACTAATTCAATGAACTCTTTTGAACATGTTAGTACACGAAAACACCCTAAATATTATTTTGTACAAAATGCAGGCGCATTCCATTCCACATGCCACATACACATTCTTTGGCGATGCATTGAACATACCATTCGATTTTTATACCGCTCCGCGTTACAAAAAGCTATTTATAAAGCTGGAAAAATCATGTGGGTGATTCAATGCGTACCGATAGTATAAACACTCGAAAACTCATTTTTAACTTTTTCTGTATGTATTTTACTCTACTGTTTTTCTCTTCCACTCAAACGCACGCATTCATTCGTCATCTGCATTGCAACCTTGGATGTGATTGCATAAACAGGAGACAATTCAGACCTGCTCTGTCAGGAGCTAGTGCCAAATAATTACCAGGAGCCAGGTAAACATACAACAGTTGGCTTAATGGTTGATGTATACGTTATACCTGTATGTTACCAATGGTTAAATTCAAAACTCTTTAGTTTGACCACTTTTTTCTCGTCGAAATGGCATGTTTCGACAAATCATCACAACCCATTTGAGCCGTTTTAGATGGAAACCTTTCAAACAGGGCTGATTATTCGTTTCAGTGACAATGAGCTCACATTTCAAGTTTTATCGCGTGTGTTTGTGACAATAACATTATAAAACGATTAATTCAGCTTATAGAACCGCTTTGCTTTATTGTTAGGCTTGCTATTTGTGAATAATCCTGCATTGAATAACATGTTTGTGTATGTAATAACATAATTTGAATGTTTCATGCTTCATACAAATCAAATGCAGGATATTATCGATTTATTCCGCAATATATCATGGAAGATGGTAATGCATTATTGTCATATTTCATGTTTTTGTTTATTTGTGTTGGTTGTTCACGTTTTTATCTATGTATAGATTCCGCACCACCACGTCCTCCACTACCGATGGGCGATGGAGCCCCAATGCGTCCTCCACCACCAGAGACAGATGATGAAGACGATGTTTTCAAGAATGCTCCGAATGCCAGTCAACCCATTATGGTAACATTGTAATTGAAGATAAAAGAAGTATGTGATAATGTGATATGTGAATTATTTAGGTTGCTGCGCATAATCTACATCGGGAAGTCCGTCAATGGTCTGCCAAGGATAACGAACTTATTGCTGCCGCGCGTAAAATGGCCCTCTTGATGGCACGTCTATCAGAGTTGGTACATAATGACGACAAGGGTAGCAAACGGGAGCTGATTGCTACGGCTAAAGCAATCGCAGATGCCAGCGCGGATGTAACAAGAATTGCCAAGCAGTTGGCTAGAGAGTGCACGGATAAACGTATCCGCACCAACTTATTGCAAGTGTGCGAACGTATTCCCACGATTGCTACGCAGCTTAAGATTCTCAGCACTGTTAAGGCGACTATGCTTGGTGACCAAGGTAATTATACGTTTTCTCATATAAATCATTTTCTAACTTTACTTTTTCTTTAACCTTTTCTTCAAAAGCTGACACTACTAGAGTGAAAAGGGGAGGTAAAATACCATTCATTTTATTAACTCGTGAATGTCATGTCTTGAATCGTTTCTAATTTTATGTTTTATGTATAACATTTTTATTATCCGTGTAGGTTCCGAGGAAGATCGTGAAGCGACCGAAATGTTGGAAGGCAACGCACAAAATCTGATGCAGAGCGTGAAGGAAACTGTGAGAGCTGCCGAAGGTGCTTCCATTAAGATTCACTCGCAAACCCAAGGCAAATTGCGTTGGGTGCGACGTCAACCGTGGTACGCGTACGCTTAAACTGTACCTAAGCCGATGATAAAAATCTGCCAAACGAATAGAAACAAATGAAACTGAAGACAAAGGAAAACGAATTAATACGATGCTAACCATGATGCATACAATAACGAAACTACAAACTTCTTGGACAGTTAATACAATTAACTATAATAGTTTACGAATGTAACCAACTAATATTTGAGCAACTATTTTAATATTACTTACAAGCGTGTGTCGGATCAGGTATTTTGTGTGCAATATTTTAAAAACACCCTAAGACAATTAAGACAACCGTAATGAGGCTTGTTTCTATATAAAATAGTTTATATGAAGTCGTTTGATATAAGTAAGTGAATAACAAAACTCTAGTATTAAAACGAATGTCGGCAATCGAAAAATGGCCTTAACTTTGATGAATTTTATCACGACGCCAAAAAATACATTAAGAAATTGGCAGAAATGAATAACGTGTGTCTTGTTACAATCGTAGAAAGTCGGATGCCTTATGAGAAAGCCTATCTACTGTTCGTATAGATTACCCTGTACCATTAGTACTCGTCCGTGTTGATCTACTGATAAGACAGAGAAATATTTATCAATTTTAAAGATTCAGACCACTTTGGAAGTCCAAAGGGAATAGATATTTTTATAAGCTTTACTAGTAATTGCCAAGATTTATAGAACTTTTAGAATTTTACAATGTATACATGCCTACATGCAAGAAATGCAGAAAATTTGTTACTGAGTGTTAATTAGTGCCAAAATTATTTATTGCTTATAAAGACTACTAAACGTAATAAATTTAGGATTTGTTCTTGTTCTCGTTATCGTTGCCTAACGAACTAGATGTTGAATAGAACGGTGCGTAATAATACTGTTGCAATAATACTAAATGAACAAGTTAATAACAAGATTATTTTATTATTAAACGATGATAATATACGTATTTACATTTGAACGACTTTGAACTATCAATTAATTAACGAAATCCTGTGAAATTTAATGGGATGGTTTGTGTATTGAAATTTAATGCATAACAATATTAATTTTGTTAATTGAATCAAATATATTCTATAATGTAAACAGCATATTTTATTAAAGTGAATTGGCTTCAAGCATTTTATTGTGTCTATTCTGCTACCCACATAGTGTTTGTAAACAAGACGATTTGAGTTATGATAGTGTAAAATATCACGGTTTTATAAATAATCTCTGATCTTACATGTTCAATGTCAAAACAAAAGCGAAATAAATTTTCTCTGAAATTCGATACACGTGCTGCCATCTACTATGCGAGTGCATTATTACTATAGTTCAGGTTTTGACCTACAGATAGCCTGTATTATTATGTTATTCTAACATGCTGTACCACACCTTACATGCGCAATATATTGATTACAAAAGCTAGGAACACAGTTCGATAACTTTTGTTTTGAAACATTTATTCCATGAACATACATTCCAAGGTTTATCACCAGAATTTTCCATCCTTGCCCTTCCACGCCGTGTGTTGTTTTTCTTATGTTTACAACTGACACATGTCAAAGAGGGTATGTGTCATCCTGATTGTCATTAACAAAATCAGACAACTATTTGCACCGAGTGGTTAGTTTTTGAGAAACAAGATAAGACTGGTAAGCATGAACTATTAATATATTCAAACACCAAATCGTAAAACTTCTATATAAAGTTAGAACATGTGACAAAAGTTCGCTGATTGCCATGTGTTGCACCATGCACATAACAACGTTATTTTTATGCCAATTATTTGCGGTAATTACACTATTTTGGGTTTATATCTACCGAAAACCACAGGAAACTAGTAAAAAATAATGTAATTACCAGCTTTACACCGAATAATTGTGCTTTCTATTGTTTTTTCAAACAAAACTAAATGTAAACAATTGTTACACAATAGTTCAAACTATGTCAATGCACTTCTAATTATCTCTTTGTTTTGCTCCAGTGTTGTGATATAGGATAAAACATTGTTTATGATGGATGAACCAGCAGAGGAATGCATGCAACTCTTTATCCAAGATGGTGTTCTCTTGAAGGAGACACAAACCTATTATATGTCCTACATGAATCAGACTGGCTCTTTGTACATCACGGAATATTTGAATTCAAACACAAGCAGATACATTGAATGGAAACCCAATGATACAGACACTATTGATTCAGATTTCCATGACCAAGAGTGGGCTGTAGTGGAAACAATAAAGAATCACTCCAGCTCAAGCATGAAGTCCAAATCAAAATACATCAAAATAAATCTGAGAGAAATACACACATTTAAAGTGTCAAAAAAGAATGATAGATTACAACTTTCCTCTGGATCTGGAGATACAATATGCAGTTTTTTCTTTCAACATGGCAACTGTTCAGCTTTGCTTTCACTTCTGAGACAGCTGATAGAGACAATGCCAACAAAAAGGGATAAATTAAAATTTATCTGCCTAAGTGATGACAGAGGTGCTGCGCGGCAATTGGATCGATCTTTTGCTGAATTAGATCTGTTTACTGACTCACCAAAATTTACATGGTGGAATTTGGTATCCAATATACAACCCTATGAGACAACATTTCAAGCATTCAGTAAAATTGCAGACATTGGTAGTTATACTATTCATAATGTTTTAAAATTAATTTAATTGTTTTATTTTATGTGTATAGTTACTGCCGGTCCAAATGATCGTCCAATGGACGAACAAACACAAGATATCTTGAATCGAAGTTTAACAGAGTTAGAAAGTTCACATGCTCCGCCACCGGAAGAGTACGAAGTTGTGCAACCGGAACTACCTTCACGAAAGGACTACCCTCGAGGAGGACCACTAACGGCGGAGCAATGGAAAAGTTTGCAAGATAACGAAGGTCGCGTCGAAGATATCGAATTCACCAAATTGCATATATTCCGTGGCGTAAGTTGAATATACTAAAACTAAGTTTATAGCTTTATAAATTGATAAATGCAAGTTTCTCATAAGTATATTTATTCCCTAGGGTGTGCATACGTCGATAAGAGGCGAGTTGTGGAAGTACTTGCTCGAATATTACCCGTGGAATAGTACACATGAGCTCAGAAAACAAATACAAAAACAAAAGAAAGAAGAGTATTACGGAATGAAATTGCAGTGGAAAACCATCACAAAGTCGCAGGAAGAAAACTTTGCGGACTACCGAGAGAGAAAGAGTCTGATTGAAAAGGATGTGAATCGAACCGATCGCAACATGCCGTATTATGCGGGTGATAATAATCCGAATTTGCAAACGCTCTACGAAATATTGATGACGTACGTGATGTATAATTTTGACCTCGGGTATGTGCAAGGAATGAGTGATCTGTTATCTCCGATACTGCACTTGTTGGACAATGAAGTGGATGCTTTTGGTGCTTTGTAGGTTTCATGGATAAAGTGGTATGTGCAGAAATAGTACTTGAAAATGCAAATAGTAAAATTGAATTTTAGAGTTCGAATTTTGACATTGACCAAGCTGGTATGAAGGAGCAATTGGAAAACCTGCACACATTACTGTCATTTGTAAATCCACAAATGGCTAATTATCTGGATCGACATGACTCCGGTAATATGTTCTTTTGCTTCCGGTGGTTACTGGTGTGGTTCAAACGAGAATTATCCGAAGAGGATGTAATGCAGCTGTGGGAAGTATTGTGGACAGGATTGCCTTGCCAAAACTTCCATTTGTTAATATGCGTATCAATACTCGAGGCTGAGAAGACTACATTAATGGAGAATGGTTACGGCTTTACCGAAATACTAAAAGTACGTCTATTCTTTCCGCCTTTTGTTAGCAAATTCTAATTTTCAATGAAATTTCAGCATATAAACGACTTGTCCGGTCAATTAGACATAAACACACTGCTAAATCGTGCCGAAGGCATCTACAACCAAGTCAAAACCGCAGAACATCTCACAGATCCCGTTCGTATCATCTTGGGACTTCCTATTTTGAACAATTCATCGCCGAACGATTCTCAAACCGACAGCATCGGCGGGCCGTGTTCACTCGAAACGCTGAACATTGCCGATTCGGAAATTGGTTATGAGCATGCACTGCAATCAAACTTTCTCTAATCTTTTGTTGACCAGCGCATTGATATAATTTATCACATAAGTTCACATAATCGGTATTTTTAGTTACAATACTTGTGTTGTTAAGTATGTAATAACAGATAGTGATTTTTATTAACCACAGTATATGCACTCAGAATGCAAAAATAAGCAAGATTATGATGCTGTTCTTATTTGTATATTTTCTTAAGAATTGTATTACTGATTAACACCTTATGACTTGCATAAAATTGTATCATACTTTCTTTCTTTATTGGTGACTTTACCTTTGTAGCTATCAAGATACTTAGGCTAAAAAGAAGTGACAATGTTATAATTTTGTTATTTTAAGGTATATAAATATTTTATAAAGTTACCTTCCATTGTGTAATGTATTTTTTTCACTAAACGTCACAAAACGTTTTCATTTCTACAAATTTAGATAAATCCAAACGAACACATCCACAGAGACAAGTTCAAATTATAAACATTGAAACTAACGTTTCCTCATCCCTCTAAGACAAAATGTTGTCAAATTTTATTTTCTTCTGCATGCTTTAAAGAATAATCCTTTTTTCGATCTTATCATAAACGCATTGCCGCAAAGACATTGTTAATTCTACGCATTGGGGATACCTAGTAATTGCGATTGAATGAATCGCATTGGTAATCGCGATGGTACCCCAGGTACGTTCGTATTTTCCTGCACTTTACCATGCGGACAAATACTTCGATTCATCGGTCTTGTGTCTTGGCTTGGCTGCGGCCAATTATTATTAGCAAAATGAGACATATTAGAGGCTGCCGGACAGAGTCCGAAGGGTCCATTTGATTGATACATTGACGGAGTTATATTAAATCCGGCACTAGGCACTTGAAGGCCTGGGGAACCAGTATATACGCCAGGTATTGGAGATTGTTCAATAAACATGACAGGCAGATAATTTGGTGGTGGAGAAGAGTATGCCTGACGGGAATAACAACTGGGGGCATTGGACAGTGCAACTTCTTTCCTGTACCGGTTATACGGCTCGATTTCTAAATCATCTCCAGTTTGGCAGCTTGAGCTTCTGCGCTTCTTCTTGACTTTCTGTTTTTCTAAGTCCTGATCAAATAATAGAAGGCGAACCTGGTTCGTGTCGCGTGAAGCGGTCGAATATTTGGAACCCAGTTTTCTACTATAATTATATTGATTTGTTGGAAATGATTAATAATAGAATCATAAAAATATACGAACTTATGACATGTACAAGAACATCTTGGTCGAAATGCACATTCGTACGTTGTTTCCTTTGTTTTTTCCATTGCAACCCCAAGAATTTAGAAGAAAAAATAATTAAATTTTTCACGTAGAATTTTTATCCGAGACAATTTTTTAAGGTGTCAATTTGATTTATTCAATAACCATATGTAGCTTGATTTATTTCAAGTTTATTAAAACGAACAGTGTACATCAAAAGTAGGTACATAACAAAGGCAGTGCGCATTTAATAAATTTTTATGTGAACTTGTAATTAATCTTGCTATTTATAATTAACCAGTCATTGGAAGAGTAATAAAAGAGATATATAAGTAAAAAATACCAAAAAAAGTTATAAATTATTCACAGGATTTTGTTATGCAAACTCCATGGATTCAACATGTAAATTTAATTTGTCAGTTTATAAAAAACTTCAAAATTTTATGTAAAGTCGATAATATTTGTAATACACTAGAATATAGATAATAATGGATGAATATAATGCAAATGAACAATTCCTCACTACGTATCAAGCCTATTACAATAAACCAATTGAGCATTTTTCTCAAAAAACGTATTCGAAAGTTTTCAATTTTTGTGCAGTACTAATCAGTAATTTGTATTATAATCTTGCATAATTTATTTACAGGGAAAGAATTCCAATAATAATGAGAAACTATGACCATGTCAAATATCTACTGAGATCTTCAGAACCACACCGTTGGAATCCAGATTTATACCACTGATCAACGTTAATGTTTTGTTTCGTGTGATGTAGGGCTTTTATTTTTAATAAGAGCGGATTTACGAGTAGACCAATTATATTCATCTTGTATATCAGTCCAATTCTGTTAATTAAAAACGACCAAATGACCAACGAACTTATGCAAATGAATAAACCCACTTCTAACCTCAAATATAGCCGATCATTCAAATATTCCTAACCTCAAATGAACAAATAACCCAGAATAGTAAGAAAATCATATATTAATAAATATTTCACTGACCTTTGCAATGCATCGGTAGATCGTCTTTCGTACAACAAACATGGCGCACACGTGTTGAGCATTTTACTGCAGCGCGTCCGTTGCACAGCACAGAGTTTTTGTTGCTGTGTGGTCACTTGCTGGTCACTATCAATCATTGTTCAGTTGTGTTTCGATTGATTGCTACTCTTACTAGCTCGAACTCTATGCCGCACGTTATAAATAATAACAGGTTAAAGATAAAACACAAACACCGACCGAAAAGAAGCAGGACTCAAGTCACGCCGCGTCGCAACTAAGTGTCCAGTAAACGCGCGCGCATAAAAATGCGAATTAGTTGACTTGCGTAGAGGGCACCACTTGCAAAATTCCTGCGATGGCTATATATTGTTTGTTTTTCATCTCTTGATTACCAGTTATGTTTACCACAATACAACAATACTACTACATTATAATCATAACTTAATTATCACACTAGCACTGCTTAGACGTTAATTGACAATTTATCAATTACTTCAAATGTAGTTTCGCTTTTACGCTGTCAAGTTTTCTTTCACGCCAAAATTTTCCACAAAATTTAATTAATTTAATGTTGATTGTGTGAAATTGGACTCGCTGAAAAATAGAGGATCATGGACCAATTTGTGTCAACGTATCGCAAAGACTTTTTATGGCCGTACATTCGTACCTTCGGCCGGAAGTAAGCGTCCTTAATTATTTTTTCCGAACGTATATTTTCCTTGTTTGCAGACCGGATGCCGCAACGATGGGGGGCGGTGAGCCATCTGACATGATCGCATGCCGCTGCGTTGGCCAGGCCGAAGAGGAAATGAAACTTTTAGCGCCAAACATTTACGACAAGGATGTGTACATGAAATCCGGCCCGGCCACGCCACTCATGGATCCAAAATTGTATCCGGCACGCGTGGGCCCGCCACCGGAATCGGAGAGTCAGAGATTTAATCAACCAAATGTGTTTTTGGAAAAAGTACGCGCATATAAAACAATGAAATGGAACACAACACAAAATCTAACAAAAAATCTATTTTTAGTTGAAATTAAAGTATCCTTTCCTCTATGAAGTTCTAAAATCTGCCCCACCGGATGATTTAATGTCTCGTATCAATAAAAATCGTTTGCGGACCACTTACGAGGTCGACTTCTGTAATCTACGTTAGTATCCAATATTAATATTCGTAATATTAACATGAGATATCAATTTACTAATTATTGCTTTCATGTAATTAATAGAGGAATATCCTGCGGCTCCGTACGATGAATTATTAAGAGCGTCTGGTGTGCGTGGCTTGCCTCCATGTCCCGAACCCGAGCGCCTTCCGGGCGATCCTTGCCGCCCCAATCAGCGACCTTCGGCATTCAAAGCAAGCGCGGGCGGTGGACTCATCGCACCGAAATTCGGCGAAAAATGTGGCGGAGGTAACTAAATCCTGCATAAATTCAAACCTAAACCATAGCTAGACATCTCTACTTGTGCGTGTATGTATCTAGGTGCAATATATCCAGCCACCGGTCCAGTGATTCCCAGCAGGATGGCGATTGTAGGCATGGGTTCTTCGGAGTATCAAGATGCCGTCAGCAAATTGGGCGGGTTAATCATTAGGAATAAGATTCATCATCGCCCCCATAAATAAATGTTGGTTAGATGAATGTGTTGTAGAATCTAAATTTAATTTTATATGTAGTAACGGTATCGAGGAGAATAAAATTTGTTTACATGATGTAGCTGTGAATATATAATTGCTTTTCTTGCAGGCATTATAGGATGGCACCCACACAGAACGCACGAATTCGACGAACACATCAATTCCTACGGGAAAATGATTCGATTGGACCGGACACATGCGCATGGGGGGCGGTCAGCCGGTCGTAGCATGCAACAATGTAAACAATTTTAAACGCGTCCAAATTTATTGCCACTATAAATTGTTAAGTATACATTTGACAGCGCGAATCAACGGTTAGAAATTTACAATCACATGATCCTTATAAATAAAAATTTTGATTTTATGAATTTCTTCATTTTATTTTTAGTTTATTTAAATTACATAAGTTAATTGGTTGAATTTTCAAAGTTGGAAATCTCCTGTATACGACAAGAACCGAGGATATGATCAAAGCAGGGGGAGAACAGCGCGCAGCCCTTTTATACCTGCGGCTGACCTGCTAAAAGTGGTGGGGGAAGGTGTGCTGTCGAAAGTCCAGTAGCACTGATCACAATAATGTTTTTCTTTGTTTGCTGTTTCCATAAGAACATGGTAAATTACTGTGAATGTTTGATTGATTGACAAATAAGTAAAAACGTCCAAACAAATTACAATTTATTTAAATCAGTCAAACAAGTATGTTATTCATCGAAGCTCTCACACGTACGGCGCAAAATTTTTGCATTTATGTGGTTATTATGATCATCTACAAATTTATTATAAAACCAATAGTCCAATATAAGTTCGGCGTACGCCAGTGGCTCTTGTAAATTCATATTGAATTAGTCATCATTTGAATATTAAAAATCTTAAGTGGAAAACATGGTGGACACATTCGGGACAATCCAAAAAAAGGATTTTATATGGCCATATCCAAAGCCATTAAAGCTAAAGCATGTAATACAAAACTATTAAATAAATTTAATAAAATTTGTTTTTTTTAGACCATCACAACCTCCAGTTAAAATCAAACCACGAAATTTCTTCGTTGCCAAAGCAGTAGAACCATATTGTCACTGTGATGCACATTTGTATGACCCACAACTTAAAAGATACGAAAAACTCGCAGAGAAAGAGCGACAACTTCATCATGAATTAATTCTACTCAACGAACAAGTAATCAATACTCATTACTTAATAGTTAAACTTGATAAGAATTGTTTTAGATTGCAACTTTGAGTAATGAAATCTTAGACCATCCGTGCGATACAGATGACGATAAAATCAAAAGCACGTACCAGATTGATTACGCGAAACGCGGAATTAATATAACGCAATACAGAAAACTGATCCCTGCAATCGAATCGCCCGTGGGTGTCCCGGTGAAATCTCAAAGCTCGGATCCAACACAAGCGTACCGAGACCCAACCAACTTCCGCTACTCCTGCTTCCAAACGCCTATCATCGACCCTTGCAAACCTGTCACCTTCGTACAATGTAATCAATTCAAATCACCATCAACATTACTATCTTTTAAACTTTTCGTCAATATTTATAGCAACAGACGCTGAAGATAAATACAGCAAGACATTGACTGGTCGTTCTGAATATCAAGACACCGTTTCCAAGATCGGCATGTCGATCATTAAAAATAGACAGCAGTACGCGGAACCTCTGCCGTCATCACGTCGTCGATACGGTGATAGAAACTTATAATTTAAATTGATTTTAAGTTATTACAAATTGATGATGAGCTTTGAAAATGTAATTTTAAATTTTGGGTATCAAGAGGATTTCAAATTGAAAATTTATGTTTTGTTTACGCAAACTTGAATTTCCGAATGTTTTTATAAACGTAATAAATTACTAGCCTTCAATATTTTCAATTTTGTGCAGTTGTGCAAAAAAATTGAATCCGAATGTAATTGGGAATCGAGGTGATGCGTTGATGGAGCGAAGCTTTCGAAGCTCCACACTCGAAATCTATGATTAGATCCCAATGTCGGCAGTTCCACGGAAAACCAGCCGAGCGCCCGTTTCATTTCGTCTGCATAAATACTACAGGACTAGTCAATGCCGATATCGGAACGGATTCGTTTGCTCGCTTGCACGCATCATCCTGCTAAATATATCCGATTCATTCGCATTGCATTTACGTCATTATACTTCTTTGAGCGTTCTTTTAATCACCGAACTTGTGAAATGTCGAACGCGGTCGATTTGTATACGCTAACGCGGTTTACTTGAAAGTAAACGCTTACAAAGTAAAATGTTATTAATTTTTCGTTGAAAAAATTAAAATAGATGTATTCATTCATAATGGAACTCAAAATGGAGCAAGCGTTGTGCAAAGTGGTTAATTGATGGCATGTTTCAATGTTTGCACAGTCTTGTTTGGCGATTTCGTAAATGGAAACAATGGTTGCGAATGCTCTTGAGTGTTTCGGGTTTGCTTGCGTCAATTGTACGCTCGGTTAAATTTGTAGTCATAATTTTCGCGAATGTATACATTCGTAGATTGCATTTCAAACATTGCGGATAGCGGACAGGTTGAATTGCTTCGGCAAACATTTATGATAGATGCGCTGAAAACACATTTTATTTCATTACGCATAAATGTAATACAATATGTTACAACTAGTCAAAACAGCAAGAGAGTGCTTTTGTAAAAATGTCATCGACCTTATAGCCACACATTTCTTAAGTGATTTTATTCCGATTCATTGCCATGGATGTGATTTTGAACTTTTCAGATTGCAAATATGAATTCCGTAGCTCCAATTGCCTTGACTCGACGTGAATCATATCGAAGCTTCCAAAGAATATTCGTGCGTGACAAACGACAGCAGACACGTCAGATCAAAGAGCATCTCGAGTGTCATTTTACAAATATTAACCAGTACATTTCACTTTCATTTCGGAAAGCGTATAATCAGCATACCAACAAATATGCCTTATTAATAATGTGAACAAAAATTTGACAATTTTTTTCGGGATAATTTTTCATTCAGTAATTAAGTGAGCTAAAAGTGTTATTCTTTTCTTTTTTGACACTATGCCGAAGAGTTCCAAGTATGCAAGTCTACAAAATTCCGACTTAAAAGTCACATGTGTGTCGTTTGCGTGGAAAAAAGCTTACAGTGGGGGCCCGATTCCTGCCACCGTGTGGCGGCTAGAGTGAGAGAGTTTCCCGAGATATACACACTTCGGTGATGTGCCTCCTGATGTCTGAAAATAGCGTCCGTATAATATCGCCACTGTGTCCGTCTTCCCTGCATATGTATAAACGGCGTTTATACTGCCGAGAGTTGTATTTTCAGTGGTCGGTCGCGTAGTGCTCGCACGCAGTTCGGTTACTGTGTCAAAAGTGATTTTTCACGAGCGGGACACGCGCAATCAAAGTTTTCCAATGTTCCTATCAATGATAAGCATAATTATACTTAACTTTCCTAGTCAATTATAGCGGATAATATTGTACTGTTAATATTACGAAGAAAAATTGTGCTTAGACAGTGTAATTTTGGTTTTGGAGTTAAACAATTGTATTGATAATGATAAAACGTGCAAATGTCCATGAGTGTTGTGCAATTCCAACGGAATATCGTTGTTGAGGTGTCGCCGAATAATAGGAATCATCGTTACGGGACGATTGGAGCAGCGCTAATGGGAGTTCAAAGTCAAAATCACTCCGTTTGCAAATCCGATATAATTGGTATGTGCCTTTAAGATTACTTCATAAAAATCCACTTTGAATTAACCAGCCATGGATGTGTATAATTCTGATCAAATTATTACCGGCTTGCGGTATTAAAAAAGCAAAGAAGCATGAAAATAGATTTTGTTTATCAAACCACTTCTTTTTTGACATTTAGTGTATACTTTAGGCAAAAATTAATTTTCTATGATAAAATTAAATTTTTTCAAAAGGACAAAACTAGTTTGTAAACAGTTTCAAAAGCTCTCACTTTCAACCGGTAATTACTCATTGCAAATGTGAAAAGTTGTAAATTCCAAAAACTTGAAACTCTCAATTATCTATTACTAAATATACATGACCGCATGTTTATAAACAATACAAAACAGCTTTAGTATGTTTATTTACTCACTAAAGAATTTGAAAATTGTGTGACCAAAATATTTTAGGTTAAAATTTCAGTCACTTCACAGTTTATTAAGTGAATTCTATTCTTAAACGTTTTTTACGATAAACATGTTTTCAATTAGTCGACTTATCAACAACATGGACAGCTGATTATAATGATTTTAAGCAAAAAAAGTAAATAATTGAGAAGTATTTATGTTAAACATGTTTAACATGTTTACTTTGTACATATTTTGTTTTGATCAGTTATCTGTATCCATTTGCATGTAATTTTGCGCTTAGTTAGGCATTTCGAATTAACGAGAACACTTACTAACGAATTAAATGTATCATTTGCGTTTTCGTCTAAGTAGCGTATTTCAAAGGTAAAAAGCATCGATCTTGGCAAGGCCCGTCAACGTTATTGCCAATTTGTGCGCAATTTTTCTACTATCCATTCCCCGACGTCCAACTGCTCGACAGCGCTTTACCCACCCACCTCGCGAATGTAAACACACAAAACGTGTGGATGTGGTGATCTGGTAATTGTGCCTTTTGCTAAGTCGAGAAATCCGCCAGTGTGCGTATTACGGCATATTTATGTTTAGCCATGAACGTAACATATAAACTATTTTGAATCGTCGAAATTCACTCCATCAGAGAGTGTGCTGTTTCCGCGCGATGACCAAAGTAGAGAAATGCAAACAAATTGCATAAGTGACGACACACGAGCGGCGATGTGACGATCGAAGTGGCGGCATTAGCAAAGCACCAAATCTGACGACGAAATGATAAATGGCAAATACGCACACACACCGCATGCTTGCCACGTGAGTCTCCGAGAACTATTCGCGATAGAAACGTGGCGACACAACATTGTTACATCTGCCAAATCGATCGCATGATCATCAATCAATCTCAACGCAGTAAAACCTGAAAACAAAAAGGATTCAAATACAGCGTAATATGTAAATGTGTGGAGTGGAAGAATAGCAAATCGAGCGACTTTTAATGATTCCATATGTGATTTTATTATAGATGGCTTACTCATATTTAAATTTAAATTCGGCGGTGAGGTTTTTGTTTCGGAGCGCGATATGCGTGCGACGACGATACGTGTTACCCCGAAATACACGACACATCGAATAGCGCAACGACCATGCGACACGTTCCTATCGAACGTCGTAAATTTAGACGGCCGTTCAGACGAGACAGCAGAAGACTCCTTGCTTTTCATTTATTATGTGCGCGAGTCAGTGCGAGTTTTGCGTGCTTGCGAAAGCGCTCACCTAGTGTATTTGGCTTCGACTTGACACGTGGAAGCGATGCACTTTAAACTTTTAATGATCACCGGCTGAGTGTTGTGTTCATGTCCGCATATTTCGCATATTTTAAAGCTAACGGTCATTAAATGTATGGAATAACTATTTTAACGCACCTGTTTTTAGTGGAAATTGCACGCGTATTTCACGCAAGTTATGTTTTGTGTGTTTTTCCTAATTTTTCCGAAAAATTGCAATAAAAATGAAAAATTTATTGGTGCAATATCGGCAATAAATAATTTATTTTATGTAAACATAATATTTTTGTTTAATTTTATCATTACGAGCTAAATTTACGAGATGATATTATTTTCGAATTAATAAAGTAATAATACCTTAGGTGTAGAGTAAATATAGTAATAGAAAGTGTATTTGTTGATTGGATGATTTTTAAATTAACACACTTTACCAGCTTAAAAATATCTTCAATTTCGTTTGTTATGCACATGTGCGAGCGCGAATGTAAACGAATCGCAGTTGGAAAATGCGAAAAGCTTAAATGTCTAAGGTGAATTCGGCGCGAAATTGCTATTTTCCGTGTTTATTTTTGTTGATCGCTTCACGATCGGTTTTAAAACAATAAATTTCAATAATTCATTCGAGAGATCTAAATCGTAATTCAAAATAAATATTTTGCGTCAGCACATCTTCGCTTTGCATCAATATTTAGCCGCAATGCGTCTAAAGATATTATTTATGCGTTGCGTGGTTATCACCTACCCAATTGAAATAAAGTTCAATGCTAAATTTAAACCAATTTTTTTCGGCCAGCGGCTATGCATCCGAGATAAATACGAGATGTAATTCTGAGACATTTGTCAACGTTCTAATAATTTCATTTCGGTTCTGGTCGGTCTCTCGTAGGAAGTTGTAAACGATTTATTTATTTTATGACGTGCGTGTCGCGTTTTCGCTGAAAACTACGCCAAACTGTCTGGGAGCTGGGAAATTCAAGATTTCTTAGAATACTGCCTGGGAAAACTGACACTTTTCGATTTTTATTAGGTAAACTTAGAACTTTGAAATGCATTACAAGCGGATAATTAACGATCAACATTGGGAAACACGGAATTAACACCGATTTGAAAATTTAAATCGAACGTGAAATGTGTTTTATAATTTCTGCGAAATGTTCAACATTTGATGAACACGAGCAACTGTGGGAAATTGAGCGAGATTGAGATTTTATCATTAAAAAGTGAGTCAAAACGATCATTTTCACCGTTATGCCGGATTCGCGTGAACACCAGACGCGCGTTTGTGCTTTTCTTCTTGGAAGACATGTTATTTTAAGTTCAGTTTTACAGGACGTCGTCCAAACGCTGGTAAATCATACCACTGAGGCAGTGATTTCTGGTTTTCCGTATTTATATTCTTCAACTTCGAAGAAAATAATATTCAAGTGAACTGACACATTCTTCTCACAATTTTTGCAGTTTTAAACATGTTTGTACTTTAAGCCGGTTCTGCGAAGGTAAATTTATCGACTGGTTATATTCTCTTCAACATTGATTGATTGATCTGACGTTTCTTTATTTAGGAGAAAATTTCCTGTTTGCGCCGATATTTAAAGAACCAACTAATCGCTGACTATGATTGAGTACAACAGTTTACACAAGTTCTTTTTTGCACAAGATTTCAACTGATTCAATAAACTTCACAGTTCATTACATTCAATTCTTTAAGCGTGGGCGTGACACTAATAAATCGATACATTGAAGTCTAGTTACTGAAAACATCAAGGAACTTATGTTTTTCTAACTGTTTTTCTAAGTGTCCTTAGAAATTAACCAATTGTTTCTAAAAATAATTGCCCTTCAATGTCGAATGTTACAGTTTCAGAGAAAATATTCAAAATAATTTTACTTTAAAGTCTGATATTGTTTATTTAAATAAATATGTTTTAAAATGTAAATTCACTAGTAGTAACTCTGCTGAAAACGAAGTTTTAAACTGTTTGATACTAATAAAAGTTATTATTAAGACAAATTACAAACACTCAGTGAATGGCTGCGCAAGTTAAGTCTGGCGGCGGCGACAAGCAGTTAACGCAACACTCGCAATTGACGTCATTTGTTGTTGTAATAAAAAGTATCGATACAGACAACATTCAGTGCTTCGAGAGCGAAATGTGTGCAATAAAAACACCCACAAGTTTTTCACGCTTTCCAAACGCCCTGAAACAACTTCAGAGCCCCCTGCAAACATTTCTACTAACGCTGCGAGAAATTTTCTTTTCGTTCAGATTTCCACCGTTAGACGGCGCAGCGCGTCGCAGCTTAAAGTTAAATCGTCGAAAGTCGCATGCGTTTTTCAAGGGTTTCAAGTACGCCGTCGACATAACTGCACAACGCAACCGCGCCTCGGAACAGAAACGAACTAAACCCATCCCGAAATACATCGGGCGTTGGAGAAACGCGGGCTAAATATAAAACCGGTGTGGGTATTATTAATAAAACGCCGGGGCTAATATTGGAATGTAGGCTACCTTTAATTTTATTCACACGCGGCTAATTTTAATCGACGGTCAATTATATTTAAATGAACGATTCTGCACGCGAATGCAATTCGGACGCTAATTCACTCTTCGATCTTGAATGCGTATGCAATAACAAACCGCACTCATGCGGCTATAAATATTTACATGAGCACTCGACTTCTTGACTTTCCGCTCAAAAATCCACCCACCTACAACTTCGCAGAAAATAATATTCATGCGGTGCGTGTCTGTCTGGTATTGCGTTATGCTGTCATATATAAACCTTTTTTCTTTCTTTATAAAAAGATCTTCTGTCGTTGCGTATAAATCACGGAACATTAGTTGAACATCACAACATTAAGAGATATGGAGTGCCAGGAAAAGATTTATATGCATTTTGTGCGTTGGTAGTTCTCCATCCGCGATTCCGCGTTGTGATCAACAGATACGCGCATCTTGGTTTAGTGTAGAAATCCTTCATCTTGTTGCTTGCTTTCCTCGAGCCTAAGTGCCTATTAGTTTTCACAGAATGCAGCGCGGTGTATTGTGTAGGTGAACATGTAAACAACTCGGTGTTTTAGTCTAACCTGAAGACGGTTTTGATGTACACATTGTGTGCGTCATCCAACAAAACGAGTTATCTAAAAGTAGATTAGATTTAGATTCATGCGGAAATCTGTAAATCCGTGTATTTTCTTCGTAAATCTTGTCGGACACTTTTAGAGCGAAAACAATGCAATAAAGAACGGTGCAGGCACGAATAATATTAAATGATTATGTGTTACTGTGAATTAACTTCTAAAAGTCGGATTATTATATAATCTAATTAATAAATTAATAAATCGATTCGAATTGGGAGCTTTTTCTTTATAATCTAATAAATGGTCAAATTTAAAATGAAAAATGATTATAAAATTGAATTGTCCGCTCGATAATGACTACTAAAAATAATAATAATTTAAAGTAAACACTCGTTTTTATTACCGATTTTCATACTCTACCGCAGGCACTTAACGCAATTGTTTTCACTCCAATCCAATACCAGCATCGACGCAATTAAGTCCTGGCGTCGCATTTTGGTCTCGGCTGCTCGATTTCGCTGGCGATTTCCCTCGTACACTGCAGACGCCAGTAGTAAAAACAATATCATTGACGCACATGCATTATTATGCACGCACGCCGGCGTATTGTTTCAGAAAAAACGCACGTGATTCATTTGACATTGCTTCCGATTGCATATTTTACATTTTCTGTTACAGGGTGTGTTCTTTTTATAAGCACACTTAGAATAAAATTAAGTTTTTATAGTAACGTCACAAATATGTCCTGCAAAACTTTCAAAAAATGTAATTTTTTGTTTCTTACAATACAATTACAATACAAATAAATATGAGATTCTTTAAAACAACAAATAGATTTCTATTTACACACTTAGTTGAAACTGAGTGTTGAAATTTTTATATATTTAAAGCACAAGTAGTTGTACGTTATTCGTTTTCGCGACCGCTCAAGTTATGGGTGAAAATGGCGATGTAGCGTAACAAGTTGGAAGTGTTCTTAGTAAAGTGTGTTGGAGCATCGCCGTGTAGCGCAACTACAGCGACGAAGCGCACCGCGCTTTTTCACAAATTAAATTTGGAACAGAACGCATGCATTGTTAGAACACACATACTCACATTCACGCACACGGTTTTTACTCTGAACGTAATTTTAGCGAATGATATTTAATGCTTGCATAGAAATTTCACCTTTCAACAAATGAAATTCTTTTTGAAACCCGGAAAATGATACTTTCATTGTTGTACATTTAATTATTATTAAAATAAAATAAAAACTGTACATAAAACTAGTAGAATGAAATTTTTAATATGCGTTTGGCCTCGGGTTAAAGTTCTACCAGTGACTACAAATGAAAAATAACGAGGATTAAAGTTTAATTTTTAGTTGGTGTGTTAAATCGTAGGTCAGAGCTGAAACATCAACAAAACCTACGAAAAAAAAATGCATTAAAAGAATAAATAATTACTTGGAAGTAATTAGTGCAAAACCTATTTTGCTTTATGTTTTAATGAAATTTTTCACGTTTTTGTTCTTTGGGTCCAATGAAAATCAATTTTGCAAGCGCGCAAAAAAAGAAACTCAATTGTAAAAAGTGTGCGTCCAACCCGTCATGCTTAAAACGTTTTCGCTGTATAATATTAACGTCCCTAAAGATTTATTCACAATCCTTAATTATCCACAAATGCATTTTCCGTACTTTACTTTTTTATACGCGATTGCTTTCAGAAAGCTCTGATTTTAATTTAATTTACCTTCAATTGATTAAATTGTCGAAGTGCAAACGTGAATTCCAATAGAAATTGCTTCAGTTGGATGTTTCAGGGGATATCTACAAATGGCCTGAGGTGTCAAACTATAGCGCGGTATGAACCTTGAACTCAGTTCGAAGTTTTAATCGGGAAACTTGTAGAAACCAAATATTGATATTGGCATCGCGCAAAATTATCGAAAGTTTCTCTCAGTATTGACATGCGTTTTGCTCATTTCATCACATCCTGATTCAACTTCTTATGTAATTAAATAAACAATGCAAATTTGGCAAAAATTTTAAGCATGAAAAGGGTTCGTTTGAATTAGCCTGTAAGTTAGGGATTTTATTGGGTCCCTTTGGAACTTGAAATTAATTGCAATGAATAAATACGCTCAGTTAGATTGCGAATTGGGTAGAAAATTACAGAAGTTGCAAACTTTGTTAACTGCAAAATTACTAACAAGCGAATGGAACTGTTGTTTGATAAGAATCTTATTGATTTAAAACTTTTGTTTAACCTATAAATCTATTTGTCGCTATACATAACCTACAATATTGACATTACTGGCCTGTATCCACAACCATGGCAGGTTTTTTTTCGCATAGAACATCCGATATGTAAAATCCATAAATCTTTTTATAAATTGTTTATGGCATGCTCTCTCCTTGGGCGTTGAGTAAACACAGGTAATGCTCAAGCTCCCAAACTAGATCTTCCATTTTTTTCCAAGTAACAGGTACAGATGAACTCCAGCATCCATGCATAAAATTCAGGAAATTAAAGAAAAAACACAAATTGTGACATCATTACGCGTCCAGGTGAATGGTAATAGCATCACGTGGATGTTTGAGATTGGTCAAAACGTGAGAAGCAAACCCAGCGTTGTGCGACCGTTGGTCCGAAAGGGGGCTCTCCCATGATCGGCAGCGGCACTCGCTAATTTCAGTCTAGCCAGTTCTGTGTCTCTTGCCAAATAAGATATTTTTGTGTTCGGAGTGGCCGCCTGCCTCATGCGTTTTGCACTCGACGAACTTCCACAATCTATACGGACGTGAAGCGCTCGAACCTTTTTGGCCACGAGCGCGCGACTGTGTGAACGTGTGCGTGTGCATGTCGCGAGCGCGAACCGCGCCGCCAACGGTGGCAGTAGAGTGGCCCGCAAAGTGGACTTGAGATGCGAGACACCGCCGCCATCATATCGAAAATTACGATAACGAAATCGCCGCGGCCATTGCGATTTTCGCGCCCGGCGCGGTGCTGGAGCAACCGCACGGGAGACCAACGAAAGCTTATCAAAGCTCCCACCTCCCACCGCACACACGCCACATCGCTAGCGAAAGGATTATGATTTCAAGTGCGGTTAATAAAAAGTCAGCGCGAGTGATTTAAGTATCGTCGTCTCGGATTACTCAGCTTGCGTTAACTTCCAAAGTGCCTTCTTAATTACTATCAGTGCTCCTTCAAAATGAAAACTCTCCTGTGAAGCACCTACGTGTATTTTACGTGCACATTTTTTGATCGTCTATAATTTTTTGTTTGTACCCGCTGCCTGGCGTGCCATTGGGGAATATATAGTGTATTTTCGTTCCGCGCATATATTGCCTACGCAGAAATAATTGTGATGACTGAGATTATGCCAAGAAAACAAGAGTTTGTGTTCGTTTCGTCCGCGACTTCAAGCATAGTAGTGGCGTGCTATTTTAAAAGAAGATACAATATTAAAAATATATATTTTTTATAACCACTACAGACGCGCGTGTCGAGCGAACAAGTGCGGCGTATTTAGCGATTATATTTTGAAGCTAAAGTTTATGAGTGCACTTTTTTAATTTTGGGCACTGATTTGAAGAGGGTTCAAGTAAGAAGTTCCGCACAATCACACACAAACACATCATCGTCGCAGCTTACAATCGAGCCAATAAAGTAGTGGAAAAACGTGTGCATGTACAAAGTTGTTAATAATCTGTGAACATACTTTGCCCGCTCGCATAATAATTTGCTCGCAAAGTTAGCTGGCAAACTACCAGGTGAAAATATTTACCGACAGGTGGTGAGGTATTTTGCGATATATTATGAAATAATAAGCGCATCACATGACCCGTCGTTGATTACACGTCATCACAGCGTGACAGTTTGTCAATTGCAAATGGTTAATGTGACTTAAGTCACATTAGTGATGGCTGAACGAATGACCAAACGTAGGTTAAGTAGATTATCCCGCAGCGCCTCAGCGGAAAGCTCAGGCGATGTGCCCGTGATCGACCCGTTGACGGTCAAGTCAGTGAAGCGTATGCTGAAGAAACCAAAGGAGCGATGGTTGCTCACGAGAAAAACATGGCGGTATATGGCGGATGCAGGCCGCAAACTCATTCCGGAGGGTGCACAGAATCGCCCCGAAGATTTACCCAAAATCGAGGCTTATTTCCAAGAAGTGTGCAAAAGAGAGCCACGTTTTTTGTTGTGGCGGAAAAACTCCTATCCCGGAGCGTTGAGTTTCCGCAAAAAACGGAAGAACCGTGGTGCAGGAGGAAGTTGTCGTAAAGCCAGCAGTGCTGATGAGGCTTTGGATGTCATTAAGCCTGAACGCCCAAAAGACTTAGCTCTATATCCTTCAACATCTGGTGGGCGTTTTGATATCCAAAAGATGAAATATGATTTCCTGAATGCTCCGCCTCCAACATCAACCTCGTCAAGCCCACGGACGTTTCTAAAGAACAAAGAGATCTATCCTCCTAGTACCATCCAAACCCCCGATGAGGATGAGCAGGAACTAATTGCCATGTTAGAGAAATATCTGGAGATTTCAAATAGCAATGAGCCCAATGTAAAATCAGATTTCGATTATCAGGAGTTGGTTGACAAGTTGCAACGCCACTTGACACTTTCACACATTCCCGAAACTACAACCGCCTGGTCTTCAACAACAGGCACTCAGCCGCAAGGGCAATCACAATTTCCATCAAGTAGCAGAGCGACAAACAGCGCCAATTCAAACTCGCAACAACTGAGTGGAGTTTCCGGTTTCCCAGCACCCTCAGCTTTTTACCCCACTAAGCGCGACCACGTGCACTTTGACGGTGATCACGTACAAAAGTCCCTTCAAGAGACCTTAAGTCGATATTTCAGTCAATCGCCGAGCAGGGATAGAATTATAAGCGATCTGCTGACGAACCGCAAAGCATTGCAAAAGCTTTACTTCGATCTACGGCAAACCAAAGGTTTCCGCGGTCGACGTGATTATCCGACGTCGAAAACGACGTCGGCATGGGACCAATCTACGTTGCGCCACTACCGAAGCAAATTAGATATGAGCGACTACAAAAAGTCGGTGCCGCCGCCACTCATTGAGATTCAAGGCGAGAGCAGCGACCCAACCTATATTGACGAGGGAACACAGACTTATGCATTGAGCGCTGTCGAGCTGGCGAAAATCGAAGAGGAATACAAGAAAATGATCGCCGAACGCAATCAGGACGAATATGATCCAGCAAGGCCTGGCCACCGGCGGCGTAGTAGTGTAGATGATGTTTCGCAATCAGTCAGTGATCACATCAAACGCTATCTGCGCATGGCGCGCAAGAAAAGCTCGGATGCCGACAAGGTCGATCGTTTCAAACGCGTCAACTACGATCGTAACCTGCGAAACATCAAGGCGAAGGGCGAGATCACAAAACCAGGCGACGATGACGGCCTTAGCAAGGGCAGCCAGACCAACGAAGAGTGGATTCTCAACTATACAGATCTCAAATTCGATGAGGTGTTTAACTCCGAGGTGGAGGCGTCTTCCAGCGCGCGTTCAAGCATCGATGCTGGCGTTCATCTGTCCTCCACGCCCACATCACCCACCAAATCCCATTCGTTCTTGTCGAGTCTCCTACACAAACACGACAAAACCAATAATGACAAGTCATTGACAGGATCTGGGCCGGCGATGCAGAAGTCCAAGTCGTCGTCGAGTGTCGTCCATCAGGGCGGGCGGCTGATGGCAAAAACGCTCATCTTCAAGCGTTCAAAGAGTCAGAGTCGACCTGCAGCCACGCAGCAACCATGCACGTGGACGCCAAAGGTAAATATCATCGCGCCGCATATAATGAGGGCAGCTCAATTTGATTTTGTAGCTGAATATTTGTTTATACGTAAGTCTATTTTTATATGATCGGCTGCTTAAATACACACGCAGCCAATCGTTCAATGGTTGGAAGGTTTTTCACTCACGCGCTCGTTTTCCGATACACAATGAACGTGTGCAAGCGAAATTGATGTTTGCAAGCGGCGGCTCACTGAAAACTCCGCTCACGATAAATCAATCCGACGATAACGGGATCTCGTTAAATATTTATTTATGAGATTAAAAAATAACCGTGAAACGCACTTCCAGCTTCACCATCAAGTCAGAACTGTTGCGAAAGTGCAAAACTTGAATGCACTCATTCTACTCTACTACTCAACTTATTCGAACAGTAGTAAAGTGCATTTTGGCTTTCTGTGTAAATATTCTTGCGAATGAAGTTAAATTTGCCACATAAACAAACAATTTAGTTATGCAACCAAAACTATTAAAAGACTCATGTTAGTAATAATAGATTAAAATTTTATGTAAAAAAGTCGTCCTCTGAAGTCCCTTTGGCTTTGTGAATATTAAATCGCTTCCATCTGATGCTGAGTTTTTTCTCTCTGCAGGGTTCCTGCTGCTGGAACAGCGTGACCGGAAAACAGGTGGTTCTCACCGACACACCACTGCAGCAGTTGAGCGAAATTGAACGCAAAGTGCTTCAGAAAGTGGCCTTGGCGAAACTTCAGGCGCTCAATCTCGGCGTTACCGTTAAAATACCGTCGGGTAAATAAACAATTCGCATGCTCAGACGTTTTACACAAACATACAATACAATCGAAACAAGTCGCCACGCTTTGCTTTCCTTGCGCGCCGCACATCGATACGATTAACAAGCTCATAACGCGCATAACAGCCTTTTTGATGAATTATTCAATTGCGTACGACCCTCGCGAGATGCCTTTGATGACCGTAATGCGATTATGATTTGCGGCTGTTGATTTATAGAGACGACGGCTGCGTCGGTGGCGCCGAAAAAGCGACGGCCTTACCTGCTCAAACGCAAAGCGCTAACGACGGGTATTTTCGATACGGGCCGAAAGGACGACAAGGAAAAGCAAGGTAAGTTTGCTAATTTTATAACTGTATTTGTTTACTTTTTTCATCAAGCGTATCTTAAATCTTCGCTTTCTGAAATATAGTTTACGAAAATTGATTTCACTCCGCGGCGATGTTAATTTTAGCATATTTTGCGTCGATTTTTGAAAAGCACGTAAATCTTGTTTACGAAATATCTATATTCATATTCATAATTCTAGGCGCAACCATTAAAACATCAAATTTTTAATTTTAAGATCTATTTTAAATCAATCAAGTATTTTTACAGAGAAAAAACTAGATTGAATCTTATATATTTTGCGCGGAATCGAAAATATTTGGAGATTTGTCGAAATATTGATATTATTGGGCGAAGGTGATTAACCAATGTCGAACTTTGGCGCATAAATCACGCGCGCCGAAAAACTGTTGGCGCGTTGCTACACTTTCGCGTAATAAGCGTAAATAGGTGTGGTGCGTGCAAATACGCTCGGGCGCGAGAAAAATGTGCGAAAAACGTGAGAATGCTCAGGTAGGTAGGCAGGAGGCGCCTTGGAGCCGCCAGCGCACTGTGGCGGCGGCGAGAGTTGGAAAAACTCTAATAATAAAATATAAATATACATTTTCTAAACATTCCACGAATGTTTGGCGAATTTTAGACGTTTACGTTTTCGGCGCACATGATGCAGAAACATTTAATTATTAATGTTTTCACATCATTTCTGACGGTTTTATAATTTTCAAATATATATTACAGGCGCTGGATTGGTTTTCGGCATACCACTGTCACAATGCGTGGAAAATGATCGATTAAATCGTCTGAACACATCCGGTTACAGCTCCAGTGACACAAGCAGTGGAATTCCACGTGCGGGCAGTCGAGCATCATTCAGTAGCTTAATTGATGCAACGATACGTGCCGATGAAGTGAGTATAATGATTAATTTGAAACAATTTATTCTATTCAAATAGGTTTAAATCATATCATCATCTAATAATATACAAATTTAATTAAATATCTCTGTGGCTATGATTACGCTTAATAAAATTGCGCGTTGAAAAACTGAAAGGAAAACCAGGAGACGTCGACGTCGACAGCTAAATAAGCTCCGCACGCGCGGATTTATTATAATTGTTTGCGCTCTGTGTTGGAATTAATGGCTCTGTTTTGGATCGTGAATTGTGAATTTCAAGGTAGAAAGGCAGTGCGTCGTCGCCGCCGTTGTCGTCGTCGTCGTCGACGGGTATCTCATACGTCGCACCGTCTCGCTCGTCGCATGCGACCGCCGCGTCTGCCAAAGTTACTGAGCACACCGCGCATAGTTCAAAGCAAACTCACCGCGGCATATTTCATGCCTCCGGTGAGCTTCGCCTCCTCGCGCCTCACATAGGCAGAAGCTGACTTTATTGCGGCTTACGACCACGATTTTAATTGAGAAAACGGCTGCTTTATGTTTTGCGCGCTGATATAACGAGCGGGGAAAACCTGTTAATTCATTTTATATGCACTATTATTCACCGATAAAAAATCGCCGAACTACATATGAAACGTAAATGTTTGGAAAAACAAGAATGCCTCGGGCATCGATGCCTGGTTTACATCGTTTTGCGTGTACACATTCGGGGCGCATTAATAACATTCATATCGTGGCAGTCGCGCGAGCGCCGACATGCTGGGAAAATGTAAATATTTTCCACCTAACACAGAATATAATATTACTCACTATTATTTGGATTGTTTCATTGTTAGGAGTAAAGATTTTTATTAAATTTGTTAGCGTTGCGTAAAATTTCATGAAATTAAATTTTGCATGTCAAGTATAATATGAAATTCCTGGCTGTGACTATTTCGCACAGCACAGGCCGCTGTTATTATTTCTTAGTTAATTTTATGCTGCGAGTTGATGCTTTAGTAATTGGGGGCAGTTTACACATTGCGCAAAAATTGCACGTTCCGAACATAAGTTAGCGCAAACATGCGCACGCCACTTGCACACACGCCTCGTGTGCCTTTTCGTACTATTTCGCCAGAGCGCGTTTTAAAATTAAACGTCACGAAAATTCATTACATCATCGCATTGACGTCAACGATGACTTACTTGGCACACGCAGCATGCGACATGCGTTTCGTTTGTGCCGGGGACGCGTGTACGCCACATTAATTCGACATAAAATCCGAATGCGAACTGTTATTATTATTGCATGGGCCGGCCGGCTGGTTTTCGGACGTGGACGTGGAAAATTAATTTCGTTCAACAATGCGTTTCTCTCTCGAGGGAAAAAAACTTGACGGCCGTATGCATTGCCAAGTTTGCGCTTAAAATGTTGTTTTATTCTGATATTGCAGAAAGGCTCGTGTGAGAGTCTGGCACATCAGCGGATAGCCGGAAGCGTGCCCGGACTGCTCGACGAGTTATCCTGTAGCTCCACAGCGGATATTGATGTATCTACCACAGGAGAAGAAGAAAGAGCGATTCCACACGTGATCACTGAATGTATCAGACACTTGGAAGCGAACGGATTGCATACGTTGGGTTTGTTCAGGGTGAGCGCATCGAAAAAACGCGTAAGAGAAGTGAGTATTACTCCTATCTAGTTAATTTCAGATAAAAATCAATAAAGACATTTTACCACCCGTATTGTTACAGCTGCGGGAGAGCTTCGACAGCGGAAAAGAAACAATGCTAAGCAATGATCAGTGTCCGCACGACGTGGCCACTCTACTCAAAGAATTCATGAGGGATTTACCGGACCCTCTTTTATGTCGGGATCTCTATAATGCATTTGTACAAACACAAAGTGAGTTAACCGATTCATTAGCACAACGCGCCGCATGCAATCTAATTTATGAATTTGTCACCCTCGATAGGGATTCGTAATAGGAGACTGCAATTAGAAGCCTTGCAACATTTGGTTCAATTACTTCCTGCCGTCAATCGCGACACGCTGGCGGCGTTGTTGAACTTCCTCGTCAAGGTCGCCAAGTATTCGAACGATCAGAGCAACGCCTTGGGTAAATTACTTCTAATCCTTACAATTAAGATTTCAATTTGATCTTAGGGGACCGCAGTATGAATATTTAAATTTAATTTGTTTTCTTGTTCGGATTCTAGGAGAAGAGTTAGTTGGGAATAAAATGAACGCTGCAAATTTAGCAACTGTATTTGCACCGAACGTACTACACTCTTTAAAACAGGGTAAGGATACTGGTGATCGACCTGAGGACCGATTAGATGTAATCAATGTCGTAAGGACAATGATTGACAATATGGGTGCGCTTTACACCATCAGTGCTGAACTTTTGGACGAAGTTTATGTTCACATGATGGATACGCATCCGGCTGCTCTGGAAGAGTTGATGAATAAGAGAGAAAGCACTTATGATGAGTAAGCATTCTGTCCTGGACGATTGGACGATTAATTAATTTTGAATAATTACATTTTGATGTAGGTCTCAGGACGAGATATCAGACGGCTCTGCTTGGTCGCCGGTGCAGACCAATCCAGACGCCTCCATTGAGGATGCCATGCACAGAATGCATCATCACGGTGATGAGCCACCAACACTACCAATGCGGAAAACCTACTCGCGGGAAGAGTTTTTACACGAAAGCGCTGCCACTGGAGGTCCTAATGTTGCCATGAGAATAAGGTACCTACGTCGTTGAGGTCAAATGTATTTTTTGTTAAAAATGTGTTTTTTATTGACAGGCATAAGGAACGCAGTCTACGTCGCCGTCGAGAGAGTTCAGGGACGCGACGACGTGACGATGACAGCGGCAGCAGCACTTCGAGCATTGCCCCCGCGAGGGTACGAGAAGCCCAAGCTTACAATAAGACACGCTCGTCATCGCTGGAAAGCACAAGCTCAGCGATAGACGCGCACGAGCGCACGATCCGCATGGGTGACATCATCAACAGCGACATGGTCGCCGGCGACAGACGTAAATCAACACCGTATATTCTAGACCAGAGCGGTATTATCACTGCAAGCCTGACGATACCAGTTCAGACGACCCTCAACATTGACAACGACGACATTCCCTACATCGAGGACGGTATGGATGGTAAACTGAATCGCTCGCCACAAGCGCCCCCGCGCCGACGGCAGCGCTCGATGAGCGGCAGTGATTCATCGATCGCCTCCACAATGCAACCCGTCATGGGCAGCATCAGCTTGATCGGTTATGACTCCGCCATCGGGTCGTCGATCACCCAAAGCAGCCCGCCTCATAACACGACGCCTTCATCTGTTAGTAGTAGTATGGACGCGTCTGGAATCTGCAGTTCGCCGCCTTCTTGGGCTTCAACGCCACCTACATCTCCAGACAGTCACAATACCACCGTCAATTACATACCCGATGACGTACAACCACCGCGCCAGTACTACGCCGCCAGTAGGCAGATTACAAAGTCCAAGGACACTTTACCAATGCTACAAAAAGTTTCATACACTTCTACGTCTGAAATTCAGCGAGCTGGTAAACCGGCTGATATACGACGAGAGACACCTTTTCGCAAGAAAAGCGTTGATATTCAGAAGTGCCAGAGCACACCAGTATGCGCCATTGAAGCTGCCAACACTGGCAGTTATGCGGGCCGGGAGAGATTCAATCCGAGTATTACTAGTATTGGCAACGCTGTGTTACGTTCACGCACAGCTGATTTTGAACGCATCACAAAGACGACTAATGATACCAAAACCACCAATACTACCACCACCACAACAAACGTGGCTGAGAAAAAGAAGTATACCAAACGCAGGTACACTGACTTGAGACATCAGACGAGACATATTCCGGATGCGGAAGCGCTGGAGGCGACGCAACCGCAGACAAGCACGACGATAACTAGTGCGGTTGGTTCGCAAGCCAGCAGTGGAGGCGCCGGGCAAACTGTGTACAAACGCCGAGAACTTATTTCCAGCGCACCTTCGGCTTCACACTGAATTAATATTATATGACAAAATGGTGCAAATCTTATCGTTTAATATACTAATGTAAATATTTCACAAAATATAGACTAAGTTATTTGCAAAAAATCTTTATTATTATTATTAACGGGTAATTTTTATCGCAAGCGTAAATTTAATTTAAAACCGTGCGGAATAATAAAAGAACGGAATATCTGTCAACAAATTGCTTTTTTTTTTTCAGGCGGTGTTTAACAAGGAACGCACTTACCTAGCTTTTACCTTGAAAGTGTAAAAGCATCAACACAATCGTAGGTGCTAGCCGTGTTCTCTTATTGGCATTACAATTTAAGGCTCTTTGCTGTTCTAAAGCAAAGAAGTTGAAAATATGAGAAAATTAAATCAGCCACGAACAACCCTCGACCAACATTGTAATGTGCTCATAAATCCATCCCAGCCGCGCTTCCGATTACGCTGCGGCGCTGCGAGCGTAATTGAAATGCGCGAATTTTTCCATATTTTACGTTCGTTTCACATCCAGGCAGACGCTCGCGTTTGTCATGCAAACACAGCGACGAGCGGCGTAACGCCCGAAAAAAATCCATTTCCGCCACAGGAGGAAATTCATCTGTGGTAGAATAGACCAGAGTTCACACGCTTGTCTGCTTGTCACCGAGTGTAATAATAAAATCATCAAAATGTTTTATTTCATCGTCGTAACTATTAAAATAAAATTGATTATATTTTTATAATATTTATTCGTAATAAACATACAAACAATTTGTTAGATTTATATGCATTTGATGCATTTTTCTATTCGAATGATGAAATCATTTCTTCCTATAGTATTTAATAATCCTCGCATTAATTATTTGTAATTTGTGTAAAATGTAAAAATTTTCGGCACTTTATTTGTAGTTTTGTGTCTTTGCCCACGTTTACATTGTTTATCACAATTTCAAGTCAACAAATCGACGTTGTTATTCATGTTTTATTTGTTACATTACACGTGGAACGGTAGAATCGTTATAGCAGAATTAATTGCTTCTCGTTTAACCTTTTTCAACGTTAGCGTTAACGATAACGGATTCCGTCAAATCAGCAGTTCGCAGTTTCCGCTGGTTTCGTCATTTTCCCTTCGGCGGCGGTGTTATCCTCCATGTTCCACCGCCTAATTCGTAGTCATTTGCATAAAGCATTCATTATTTATGTACAGAGATGCCAGAATATATAAAGTATTACTAATTGCACTGCAAAGGCTAATTAGTATTCCGTAATTAGCGTTTTGTTTCTCAACTACGAGACGACAGTTGCTCTTCTTGCAGTGCCACAAAGTTTCGTACAAGCGCTAAATAAGAGTGGCCGAAAACAAGAACATACAATAATTTCTAGTTAGAGATATTTAAAAGAACAATAAAATCTAAAATCGTCCCATTCTTGGAATGGGCACTGAACAACAAAAATATTATTTATAATAATATGCAATAAAGAGCGATAAAATTTCTTATGCAGACAATATATAAAAATATAAATCACAAAAATAAAACGAGACAATAAATACTCCTAGCAATTTTGCGGACGTGTGTGTTTGACATTATTTGACTTGAATGTTAAGTAAACATAATGCATATTTCAAAGAGTTTTAAGATAAAAATGGACGGAATATCATTCTTCTTATTTTGTATATCTATAAATTCTTTTCACCCTTTTGGTATTGTGCGCGTGCGATATATATATATGTACTAGTTCGTTTTCTATACTTGTTGCTTATCATTCGCTGACGGCGCGTGGCGCATCGATTTCTCCGCCTACACCTCGGTGCTGTGCGTCTGTATCCGCACCTTCTTCATGCTGCCGTTGCGGGAGAAGGTCGGCGAGTGGCCGGAGTAGCCCGGATTCTGTATACCCAGCCCGTCCTTCGGTTTGGGTTTCTTAAGGCTGGAGCGCAGTGGTGGTGAACGCGTCACCGACGACAACGTCGAGCCGTTCGAGCCGATTGTCGTCGACGTTGTGTTCATCGACATCATGCTGCCGTTCGACGCGAACATTTTTGCGCTGGCGTCTGTCATCGATATCCCGCTGGCTGAAAAGGATAATTTTCGGTTCATTGATCATATTCACGCAAGTCAATGCCTGCCGGAAGAGATGAATAAAACACACAGAAGAGACGGAAAGGAAATGAAAAAGCATGAATGGTATTGTATTTTACTGCAAGTTACAACCCACGTAACGGTATTAAAAAAGAATTTTTTGCCTAAACTGTAGAACAGAATCAAAAGCTTTTAGTAATATTACGTCGGTTAGTTTTAATATTAATACTCTTAGCCTGTAAAAAATATATTGACCAAAAGCATAACGTATTTGTACGTATTTAAAGAATAAGCCGATTAAGTTGCAGGACTCACCAGACGCTGGCGGCCGTTCCCGAAAACCAGGATTGCCATAAGTCGTCGATTCGACGCTGACGGCAGTTTTCGTTGGATCGCCACCCTCCTTCCTCGCGAACAGCATGTCATACAATGACATAACGAAGAGAATGGCGTTCAACAGTATTAGCATAATCTGCAAGACGAAACTTTTTCAATAACAAACCACAAAAAAAAAACTTTTCGAAATTTAAAATTCAAAAGCAAAACTTTGGCGTGTTTACAAACATTCTGATTCAGTAATGCGTAATGAATGTTTACCTAGGAATGCATTGTTTGTGTTTTAAATGATTAATCAAAATGTTTGTTTCTGTTACAAACCTGTATGTAAAACGCCGGCCCCCGAGTAATGTGGAAACCATTGTTGTCGCGTTCGTCCGCTTGCATGGCGAACAAACCGGCGGCGGCGATGGCGAGCAGTGCTGCAAAGCAGAGCGGAAACACATAAAAGCCGGACGAAAATGAAGACGTGAAAATGTCGTATATACGCAGTCATAAATTACGCGCAGCTATCCGCATAATATTCTGCTTTAATAATTTCCCCTCGGCGAATTGAAAGCAAGCGGATTCCTTTCGACGTCATATTTCTGTCCAGAGACCGAGCGGATAGTTTTTATAGAGCCAGGTCTATAATTCGCAGATATAAGAGCACGATTTGACGTCACCGACGGTATAATACTCGTATCCCAAGAGTAGCAGGGCAGAAAAAGGTTTCCTTTTCATCTTCACTTAATAAGATCCTTGAGGTTTACCCATACCCCCTTTTACTGAATGTTGAAGAAATAGGAAATGATATTACTACTTACTTGCTAGTAGTCCAAGGGCCAACTTGAGAATAACCACCACACTGTATTTCATCACGACTTTCTCCTTGGAACTGAGCATGGCGAGCTGGAGGACACTCAGGAAACAGAAGACACCAAGCACGGCGACGCCGATCGCTGCCATCAAACCGGCCACCCATACGACGACTGAAACATTTCGTCCACCGTCAAGCTAACTTTGTCACTTCAACAATGATTCGCGATGATCGAAGTCTCGGCAAGTACAGCTACGCGCACTTCTTTTGAACGCGCTCGCAATGCAAAATAGGCGCAACATTAATAGCAACAATGCGGCGTAAATAAAACCTCTAACGCGGCGGAACAGACCTGAACGCTGAGGCAAATAATGAACTCGCGCGGTGTCAACGAAACAACGAATAATGGCAAAATGAACGGAAACGGGCGAAATATCATGCCGGGGCTCAGGATGGCTGTTGCGCGGTGTGCGAACGCTTCGAACAGATTGCAAGAACTGTTAGAAAGTTTCCGCAGCGTCGACTTTATTGCATTGTTCTTCGTCTTCATTCTTTATTGTTGCTTCTTCAGAGCACTTCGTCTTTGTTAATAGCAAACTGGGGAATACGCGGAATAAGAGAGAAGCATGTATATAGTCGCGAAACCGGCGGATTGCAGAAACGAGCGAATTCGAGAGCACGAACGAGAGATCGCACCGATTTCGTGTCGTGTTGCAATTGTTACATATGTGCAACTGCACGAGAAGGCGAATAAGACGAAGAGGAGCATGATTAACATTGTTTGCGAGGTGTGCGGGCACGTCGGAAGCTGGTGGGAATGCGCGTTGTAATAAAACCGGAGATGAACGGTTTCAACCGTACGGTAGTGTTAATTAGTCAATTATTTTCAGGTTTAAAAAACTTTTAGTGTAAAATAATCTTACCAGATGGACGAAATCTTGAGTCGTCTTTTCCGCATCTCTCCCGATGATACAGGAGCATTTTGCAAGTCTTCCATGGTCCAAAATATCCTCGTTCATCACCCGGGAAACCTAAAACAAAATAATCAAGAAATAAATCCTCCGTTTATTTATATTTACTATAATACGTCTACTATTTTCCAATTAAGAATGCAATTTAATACTTTTCGGTTTGTTTTAGTTGCGGTGTTCAATTTTCCAGCAATTATCAAGTATTTACCGAGATACTGAGAAATATAAATGTGTAAATGACTGCAAGTAATTGAGAAAGCGTTTAGTTGTGATTTGCAGCAGCACTTTTGCCATTATAAACAAATTAGTAACGAAAACACGTTCAGCTGATATGACACATTCCAATATTGGTAGATTGACAGAACAGCACGAGGAATTTCTGTCCTGCTCGCCATCACCTACGCTCGTTCATTAAACATTGGGAAATTATTAGTTGCGACCTGCTTCCGACGCGTCTATTTGAAATGCCTCTCTAGCAGATGCGAATATGAACGAAAATCGATAACAAACACGATTACAAAATACAGGGTGTACACTAAAATAACATAAATTAATTCCATATTAACATATTCATAAGATCGCTTGTTTAATTTCATCACACACCATCTATATTAATGACACTGTCATCAAATTACAATATATGTTTTCAGACGTGTTATTCGCACATTTTCACGCTTTACTCGTATTGCAGCATTGCAGGCATGGCGAATGCACGCAACAGCGTTATACTAACTCATATTTTACGACGAGTGCAATAACGTGCGTCGTAAATCATGGTTAATGGGATTAAAACGCCTAAAAGGCAAAAAACGAGATGGTTTTCAATAACAAATGCAAGCGGAAGGAAAATTTCGCTCCAATTATTTTATGCCGAATAAATAAACAAGTTCAATACAAACGAATATAATTATATTCCAGGAATTTCTTGTCGTTGCCATGACAAGTTGACAATACTCGTAAATGTAGATTCCTTTTCTTTATGTGAAAAATAATAGATACCCTTATAAGCGTTTGTCACGATTTACAAACGCGTAAGGCACTTTAACAATTTGCATGCCACCCACACGCACAAGATGCACCGACAGGTTAAAATTCTATTACATCTCATCGGGCTTTGTGCGTCTTGTGAACCTCTCGGTGTCAAGTGCAAAGTTGCGATGTCAGGATTCTGAAACATTTGCATTACTTGCACGCCCGAATGCAGCTGACAAGTTGACAGCGTGAAAGACGCTCGTAATTTTATATCTTACAATAATTTATTTAATATGCATCAAAACAGTTATTATTTTAAGTAAAATAAAAATAAATGGTGAAAATTACTTCCGAATAACGGCTACTTTTTAATGCTCTATAAAAATGTGTATAATTTCGTTCACATCATTATAGATGTTATAATTGTTTGCAAACCAGCTCATTGTTTATATAGTTATAGATAATCATGCATATGTTTGGCAGATGTAAGATCTCGATAGTGTGAACTGTTTATATATGCATAATACAGATTAATTTGTGTTGTAATGGTTGTAAAACACGTTATTATTTAAACTTTCCGCATAAAATATTTACAAATCTGCCACTGTCTAGTTGTCTACTGGCTTGGTAGGTAAAAGACGTTGAGTACATTGAAAAAGTTCAAGAACCTAGCGAATGGACGCCAACAGGCCGTGTAGGACTGTGAACATGTAGCCAAACCACCATGAACAAACACGACGTGAAGAATACACGCATTGCTAGTCTCTTTCAGCTAGGAACATCGCTGATTTGTTAAAACGTTTAGTCTGACCCGAGAAGAGCTTGCGCTTGTTGTACCTTCATGTGGTAATAAGTAATAGTTTAGTTCGCCTGTTTGTACACCGCAGAGCGACTAAGGAAGAAGACATGCCGAGAATGCGATCGTGGTCGAGTCGCATGCAACATTATTTTGCAGAATATTCGTCGCGGAACAAACAGGCGAAACACAAGACAGAAAAGGTTGAAGAGCAAAGACTAGAGACGTCACAGTGAGGTGGAGGCGGAGGCGGTTTACAGTGCATACTCGTGTAATAGTTGAACGACCTTTTGTTGTTCTTCGAACGTGATTTTTTCACAAGGCTTTCTTTTTGGGAACAGCGTGATTGATACAATCTATGGTTAAATTTCACGTCATTTGTTTACACATGTTATTGTTTCATCACGTTTTTGGGTAGGTATAACAGATAACTGTTCATTCACAATAATTAATTACAGTGTTTACATTAAAAATTTAATTGCTTGTTTGTATATTTGGTTGCCTACAGTGTGAATAAATTTACTATTCTAACCATATTTTTGCGAAATTCTCATGATACAACTCTTTGCATATTCAATTTCCTTCAGGTCTTTCTAACACTTATTATATTACTCACTAACAAATCAAACCACACTTCCCATAAGTATTCATGTATCTTGCACACCTTGAGTATATTAATTACACCAGTTTTCCTCTACAGTCTACTCAACATTTTTATTTCTATTTTCTGTGCTACTTTACGACAGTTAATCATGCAAGAACTCTGCAACCTTATGAATGAATGTTGCAGCAGTAAGTAGGTGCACGTAATTGAAAATTTAAAATCTCATTCATTGTATTCAAATGAAAGCCTTGCAAGTTCTAAATCGGAAGTTAAAAAAGTTTAGAAAAAAAAAGCTCGTTACATTCGTGTTTGATGTAAGCACATGAGGTATACATACTGTAGCTAGTAGAATTTCATGTACTATGCAAATGTCAGCTAATAATGTGAAATTCGCATGGCTCGCAGAACGAAATGCGACGTCAGCAGACGAGCATTTAAACGAAAACGGCGCTTGTTGCATACGCCGCATTGCTGCACTGAACATCCGGGCGATAGCAGGACGAGTAGGATGTTTCATTTGAATTTTCATTCAAATTTTCCACTGGTGATAAACGCTGTACTGATATGAGTTTTACCAGCCGGTGTGGGAGGGCTTATAATGATCAGGCAGTACTCGTATACGTGTAATGTAATATGCACAGCTATCAACTATCATCAAGGTCATTATTTTAATTGATTAAATTTAAACATAGGTTATAATAATAATATATTTTAATCTGGTTTAAAATATTTGTACTGAAGTGTCCTTACTAAATTCAAGTTGTTTCTGTAGTTACAAGAAACTTTAACTCATCAACAACCTCGCGAAACTCTGAAATTGTACTTGAACTTACATAATTACACTTAAGTAAGTCTTAAGCGGGTGCTCTTATTAATTAAAAATATTATCAAAATGCATCATGTTGAGTATTAAATTGAAAATAAAAATTATTTCAATGAATGAATCGGAAAATCACGATAAAATTTCCACTCCTCGATAAAAATTAGAAGTTCGATGAGTGCAAATAGGTGTGTTGAGGCATGAAGGATGCGCATAGCACATGCAAAGCTAAAGCAAAATTCAATCAGTAATATTGCGCGCCGCCCACGCACGTCGCAATAACTTTTCGCTTGTATTGATCTGTCGGGTACACGCAATAGCTAATTATAAAAATATCTCGCCTTCTTGGCCTTCACCGCAAGCCGAGGTCTTTTTTTGCAATTATCCTACAGCGTGAAATTAAAAATTTTGACTGTTATCAAAGAGCACCAGATACTAGTAATGGAAATCTTCGAAGTCGTTATCTTTGCTAGAGGCGAACAGTAGGTATATGGTTTCGAAATGAAATTGTAACAATGAACTTGTTTCGTCCAATTGGGAACGATAAGATAAGACGTGAATATGTGTCGCAATGGAGATAAGGACTACTCAACGATGAGGTGTCATCATCGTTACGTAAATGATTTGTTTGTGTTAAAACATTAACATTTTTAACTTATTTCCAAACAAATGACAATGAGGTATTCAAAAACAATACAAAACAAAAATCATTGATAACAAATAACAAGGACTTTCAAAATTGAAGAATTTATAAGGAAAATGTGATTTTAACATTCTGAAAGGAAAAAACCGATAAAAAAATAAAATATTACAATTTTGACTAGGTTTCTAAAAATATTATTGCATATTATAAATTTCGTCCTTAATTTAAGAAAAAAAGGACGAAAAAGTCCTCCCCGGCGGGGAATCGAACCCCGGTCTCCCGCGTGACAGGCGGGGATACTGACCACTATACTACTAAGTTCGAGAAACTCCACAAAGCGGGATGGCGCACTCCAATCGGGGACTATGAGTATGTGTGCAAGAAATACAACATAGACAGAACGCTCGACAAGATCGAAGTAATCAGAACAATTAAAGACCAAGACCAAGAGAGGAGGCAAAGCGACTGGGCGAAGCTGGCTAAGTACCCTCAGAAAGTTATGGAGTTCCAGGAAAGAATTGAGTTCCCAGCATTATGCGACACAAGGCTGAACACGGAAAAATTATCGTTTCTAAATGCCGCAGCTGAAGAACAAATTCAAGTACTCCGTAGCCACGATGAGGGGAACAATCAATGCCGGAAAGGATGTAACAGCATTGAATCCGCGTACCACGTCGTTAGCGCCTGCAGTAGACAGTCGTACAACGCCAGGCACGATCAGGTAGTACACTGGATACTGAAGGAGTGCCTCCAACACCTGGGCGCACCGAGTGAGACAACCAAGAACCTGCAATTCGGCAAGGCCACCGCCAACACAGAGTTCAGTACCGACGGCACCAAGTACACCATCAGAGCCGGTCAAGCTATTCTTACCGAGAAGAAACTCCACCATAACAAACCTGATATTATGATCGAGGTGGAGCAAAACTCGGTAAGAAAAATCCACCTAATAGAAGTGTCGGTACCGCACCTCAGAAACCTGCGCATGCAGGAACAAATAAAGAGGACAAAATATGCCAAAAACTCGGTGGAGGTGATAGGCAACAACAACTTCGACAGCGTCGCAAGAGACAGCAACCTATTGGATGAAATGAGACTAAGGCACAGATGCAATGTGAACTTAGCGATTTTCACAATAGGCTGCTTTGGAGAAGTCGTGCGCACTGAAGAACACCAGCACTTCAGAGAAACGCTGAAAGAAATAGGCCTGACCGATAGCAACATC